TTAAAGACCAATTAGGCCAAAAGTGTAAAATTAAGCCCCACTGCAGCCAGATTACTGTAGTCCTACAGAATACATTTAATTTCATCTCAGCTTTCATCTGAATGTCTTTATTACTCATGCTGTGTGGTCTTCATCTGAAACACACTTAAAGAATACAGTATCTGTTGCCTGCAGCAACACTTCTGCTTCTCTGTCCTGTGTGCAGTATTTTTAATACAAATCTGTATTTTGAAATCATAGCTGACCTACTCTGATATTGGCTGTATCTGGAAAAGCAAACAAATACTTTTGACTGTTCCATCATCATATATGTCATTCCAAAAAGAGATCCATGGAAAAATATTGTCTCATCACCCTCACTGGCTCATTTAGTTTGTTCCCCATCAACCTGCCTTTAAACCATTACCAATATGACTGTGTTGCCCCAAAATATGAGTGATGTGACTCAAAGCCTGTGCTATTGATAGAAATGACTACCATTGTTTTTCTTTTTTTCTTTACATTAATTCTTTGACATATTCACCTTTGCTAACATCCCTAAATACATTCTCTGATATCCTCCATATAACCAGCTGTATTGGCAAAATGCTGTGAGCTGTGTAAGATTCTTTCTGATACTCCACATGAAATTGCCATGACTGCAATGGTATGAGTAGCAGTGCCATGCTGAATCTACATTAAGCTTTGAATAGATGACAGTATAGTCTCTAGTATGTTATTTCTTCCTTCTTTCTTTGTCATTTCTTTGATGGATTCAGTGAAGGAGGGGACTGTAACACTTGTTAAGCAGATGCATAAGTCAGTTGGGGCAGGAAGAGGACAGAGCTCTTTTAACGCAATCCCATAGTGTAAGAAGGGCAATTCAGTGTTATAGATAAGGTCGCACCTACTGAACAAAACATTAACCACAGCAGTAAATGTGGTTCAGCATGTACAGCTGTAATTATTTAAAGAACGTATGATACTATTACTGTCTCTTAAAACACTTCTGAAAAGAGCTCCTTGAAGTTACTCCATGAAACTGTTGTTTGGTGTTTTTTTTTAAAATTTGTTTCATTGGTGACTTAATTTGTTAATCATGTAATGAATGATATTGCTTTATGCTTTGGCTTTGATTTTTAGATCAAGAATCTAGTGCCATCTATCATATCTAAATATTTGAAATGAATGTAGGTGATTATTATAAAAATCGCAACACTGAAAAGTATGCAGTAAATTAATGCATTTACTTATGTATATGTTATTATGAGGATCTCGAATAAGCCATAATAACTAATATTCAATTTCCTTATCTTATAACCTGGCAGTGTACTATTGTTTTGTTATAATCCTTTGATAAAGGAGCCACAGGCATCTTGCAGTGATGTGGAAACATCCAGTAGTGTGAGCAATGATTTATTTATTTATTTATTTAGGTGCAAAGCTTCTTTATTAAAGGCATAATCTAATCATATGTAGAAGTCATATGCCAAAACGTTTAGTATTATCCAGCTGACTGTGTAATGTAAAATCATATTTAGTCTTTTCACTTTAGTTTAAAGTCATAGGCGTACACAAAAAGACCTAAATTGTTCTGAAAGCTTACCAATGGCCAATTAAACACATTCAAAGCATTCTGACTTCTTGCAGAGCAAAGGCTCTTTTTCTTTAAGTAGCTAAATAACCTTGATTAGTTGTGTAGCATCAGAAGTTTCTTCATGTTCATGCATTTAACTTCACCTGGATTATCTTTTATTGCAAAAGAAAATTTCTTCTGTATCTGCACATATCAAGTCTTCTGCAGATTATACCTGTTACAGAAGAGTCACTTCATTTGGTGATTTCTTCTACATGTCCTGAAAACTGTGCTTCATGTACAAATACTGTAAAGAATCAGCATCTAGCTTTGCTTTTACAGGTAGGAATAAGGTGCAACTCAACAAAGGTCTGTAGAATTATAATGGTAAATAATTGGTACTAGGAAGATGACAAGACAGCTATGGCTGTTTCTCAGGAAAGCTCTCGATGGTCAGCCAGGATATGCTCTCAGTTATACTGGAGAAATTCAGAGAATCTGGAATACTGTAAGCATTTTTTGCCTCAGTAAACAATACCTTCCCTGGACTCAGATACGTGCCTGCTTAATCTGCAAGCTAAGTCTTTGCTTTGGGAGTTGACATGTAAAAGGGTTTCATGGGTCTTGTAGTTACTTTGCAGTTTTCAGATGCAAACTGAAATGCAGTAGCATTGAGAATGCAGTAGCTTGAAACACCACCCCTGTACAGCAGGAAAACATGGTACCTGCAATTTAAGACTACTTTTGTTGCATACTGTGTCTACAGCCTTCCTTGGAATACTGAACACTGAACAGTTACCATTTTTATACTGCCTAGCAGACATGTACCAATATCTGTGTCACCTATTTGGGATTGAAGGTACCCTTATTCAATAGGGAAGAAGAAAATTTATTATCTTTTAGACTATTCCAAATATATTTTGAGATATATGTAATTTTATCTTCTGGTATTTATGCTTAAAGGCTTAAGGTCTCTGCCATGTAACTTGGCAAATTTAGATTATCCAGTGCCAAACTGATTGACCTTACCAAGAAGAAATCGGAATACTGTTTGTTGTTAGTTCTGCCCTAGTGCTTATTCTTGTGTCTCTGGTGGTATAATCATATTGATTAAAATAATAGTAAAGGTAGCATGGTCATGTGGTTCTGTTTTACATGACACCTTTGTTTTCCACTTGAATTCTAGATGTCAGATCAGGGGAAGAAAGTGTCTTCTTTAAATATGCTAAAGAATTAAGTATTTAATGTTTGCAACTCTTTAAAAGTCTAGCTTGAAACATCAAGTAATCAACTATTGATCTGTCCACAGAACAAAGGCAGACACAATCATTTGTTGCAGGATTTATTTTTCAAGGGCAACTGATTCTAATTTCTGTTTTATTTTGTAAATTAATGTTTAAACAGCTGTTCACTTGAGGAATGCCCCCGCATCTATTTTTAAATGAATAGGTGGCATCATCTCACCTAACTTCAGCCACCTAACGGACAGACAGTTACTGTCAGTAGTTGTCTAGTCCATATAGAACAGCAAATACTTGCAGTATCTTTCATCCATCCTAAAGAGGCACCTAAGGAGACTGGATGACTTGTTCCAAACTAGGATGTCAAGTTTCCTTGTGTAGTTAAAGGAAAGAGATGAACACCATGAATTGTTTGAGAAATGAAGGCAGCTAGCTGATACCACATACCTCAGTTTTGGAAGATAATAATAGAAGAAATTGATCCTAGCTTGTGGGAAGAAAATTCTTTAAATTGTTTACCTGAACATATTGCTACAGGCAAATTTAACTTGAATGACAATACGACTTTATAATTTTAAAATGTAATGGAAAACTTTTTTTTTTCTTCTGTCTTTTGTTTTCTGTTTTTTGAGAACACCACTAGAAAAGTTATAAATTTGGAACAGTGCTGCTGTTGTATTATGACCAGCTGTAGGGGTTAATTAATTCTGTCTTCAAGATCTATGTATAAATTTCATATCATACCATCTTAAAAGCTTTACTCTTGTAAGAAAAAATACAGTTCTTCTTTTGTGAATTTTATGCAATTTAGAAAAATACCTTCATAATCAATACATGTTAGTTGTCCTTTTCTTATTGTCTTTAACTATAACACAGTATATGGGCATTGTGTTAAACATATGTACTAAGATGGAGGATAAACTGAAAAAAAACTGTCTTTCTACAGCAGTACAATTGAAAAAGTCATTCAGCAGGAACTTAAAAACCAAAGAACTTAAGTGTACAAGGAAGGACAATAAATGCAGTTGACTCCACATTTCTATGAAATGCATGGCTTAGATAACCAATTATATTTTAGTATGTATAATACTTATGTTAACAATGGATTATTTTTCTTCTCTTCCACTCCACTGAAATAGAATATGCCACTGACATTGGATAGAGAAGTCCTTCGCAGAGTTATCCCAGACAGACTGGGCTAGCACAGGTATTGAGTGCATGATAGCCGTAGCTGGGACAGGGCACAGAAGGGTTAAGTGTTTCCGTGTTCACCCAGGATCTCACATACGCTTTGCAGCTCTGCTGAGCAACCTGCTACCACCACTACCTAGTGCATGAGACAGCTAATTTAGTCATCATGTCAATCCAGTTACATACTGACTATCCTTGTCTGGGTGGTTAGTTTGTTTTTTTCACTTAGGTGTGAACAATAAAAAACTGAATCTCTTCATACTTGATTAATTTTTGAATTTTCCAAATTGTAGTTGCTCCTATATAGCCATGCCATATTCCATCAGTAGAGGCTCAGAGAGGTTTGAATGCTACAGTTCAACACTCAGCCCTCCAAGGAAGGCTTTGAACTCCAGCCTCACCTGAAGACACAGACATGCTGGTAGCAGTTACATCCCAGGACTTGCTGCCCAAATGGAGACATCGTGTATGAGGGCACCAACTGTCACACAGCTTGGCTCAGGAAACCTCCAGAATTAAGAACCAACAATATTGAGGGTCCTTTGTAATAGTATTAGGTATCATGAGCCAGGGTCAGGAAGTGAACATGGCTGCAAAAAGTCAGAAAATTATTGGTTAATAGATTAAAATATAAAGAATATAATTGTAATAGAAACCAATATCAGTATATTTGTTTGTTACTATTTTTTTTTAAGAATCACCAGCTTTTAGTGCTGTGAGCCGAAACTCTTGAATTCTTCACTTCATACTGATACTATAACCTTGGTGGTGTTAAGCATGGCTTCTTGGCCTTCACCCCAACTACAAAATTAAATTAGTGCTCTTACCTGTCTCAAAAGATAGCACAGAGGAATAATGAGCTCTTTTCCACTGTTGAGAACATTTTTGTCTCAAGTTTTATTATCTGTGAAATAATTACCTTACTAAAGCCACTGAGATCTCAGTTGCCCCACACCAAACAATACAATGAGAAAACCAATTTTATTATAAAGCTTGCCTTTTTTGTTTTTCAGAGCTGTGTATGCAAAGGTAAAAGTCCCTGCTTTTGTGATAGCATGAAAGGTAATAAGGTAAGAACAAAAACATTTTTCCTCTTTTAACATTAGCTTAATTCTGGGAATTGCTAACACATAGTTGTTTTGACATAGTAAGATAATGTGTGATGATACTCTGTTGAGAGTATAGAGAAAATCGTAAAAGGAATACACTACCTCACAAAATTCTGTTAAAATAACTCTGTGGACACTGTTTATCTAAGAAGACTTTTAGATTATTTTTTTTAGATTTTTTTTTTAATTTTTTTAGATTATTATTTTCTGTTTATCTAAGAAGACTCTTAGATTATTTTTTTTAAATGCATTACTCTGTTTACAGCATTGCATGACATTTGAACACCAATACAAGAACAGCTGCCTGAAGCACTAGGTCCCTTTCACAAGCTCCTAACAAATGCCCACAGATACCATTACCCTGGCAGCAGCTCTGCTGTTAGAAACTTTATAATACCATCAAGAGTGTCATGTTCAGTGCTTCCCTCTTTCCATCTTTGGGCCTTGTCCATCTCTCCCCACCCCCTGCACACCCTTTTCCAGCTCCTGAAGGAAAGTTACATGTGCAGGCATCGGATAGAACAGCTTGCCAGCTTAATCAGTTCCATGTTAAAGCAACTGAGAAATTAGTAGGTAAGAGTTAATCATTGTTTACACTGATGTTTTTCAGGCAGCATTGGAAAGTCAGGACAACTTCATTAATCAGTGTGCTTTGATAACTGTTTGATGTTAAGAAACTTTCCAACCCAAGAATCCTCTGATCTTGTTGATCTCTCAAGAAGAATCTGTGGATAAAATTGCCTGTACTGTATGAAGGGGAATGAAACTGTCAGGAGAGCGCAGTGCTGCTCTGTATCTTGAGAGCAGCCCATGGCTTGGTCAGTGAGGGGGTAGCAAGTTCAGTGGAGGAGCATCATAGACTTTCTTTTTTCTGTGAGTTAGTACCACACCCCCTCCAGTGGCACGTCTTGGTATAACATCATCCTTATTTGCCTTTCCCGGGATGCTGGTGAACGAAATAAACGATTTGTTACAAAAAAAAACCTATGCCGGTTTAGGATACAGATCTCACAGACACTTTACGATGCAATTCTTATTTTGATTTCTGTTAAAATAGTCTGTGATTATAATTTTTTTTTTTCAATAATTCGGAAGCTATATAAGGTCTGGTCAGTTTGTGGGATTTTGAAGGGCAAGAATTGGTGATAGGACAAGCCGAGGTATTTGGCTTCCTGGGACTTCTTTAGGATCCTACCTTGTATATTGAATAATAAGATACCAGAACTTCTGCACAGCAAATTTTTTTTTGTATAACTCTCCTCTGATAAAGCAATAAGAAAATTGACTCTGAGAATTGATAACCCCATGCTTTCTCTTCCTTGTCATGTTGTGATGTAAAAGGTTATGGATAGGCCGCTTTTCACTGGTGTAAAATTGAGCATACTAAATTGCTGCTATCTAAAGGGCTGAAACACCTTTTCTGTGAGTTTCCAGGCTTGAAGCACTTTATTTTAACCAAAATATGACTTGCATTTTTGTTATATTTAACCAAAAAACTTGAAACACCCTTTCCACTGTAACTTAGCCTGCTGTATTATATTGCGTAGCTTTAATCTTCTGTGTTTTCTTTACACGATGATTTGGAACTGACCTTCCTGTACAGAAGCAGACATTAAGTTTGCCAGCTACAAAGTAGGCTGCTGTGGTGGATTTCGATTTGTGTTGCTTGTAGTGACTAAACACAAAATACTAACAAGGAGTATGTATCAGATGCTTTCTTAAACTTTTCATGTTGGCAATTAACTTCTGTACTCTGCAAAATCTTGAGTACTGTTGTGTTCTGATATCTTCAACCATACTTATACCACAGAGGCAGGGCCACAAAAACAGGTCAGTATGGGCAAGGCTAATGTATCTGCCACAGTAGCAGACAGGTATGTCAAAGTTAAGAGTTACTGAAAGTAATGAATGCCTTAGAAATAAGGTATCAAAAGGAGAATTCATTGATATTTTAAGAATTTCATTCTCTTAATATTTACAGGGTGAGAAAGGCTATCCTGGTATTCCAGGTCCACCTGGTCATAGAGGCTTTCCTGGTCCAGAAGGGCCTCCAGGGCCACAGGGACCAAAGGTAAGTGTATGAGAGAGAGACAGATAAACTACTGTGCTGCATAGTGAGCCATGACTGGCTAGAGAATTCTGTTTTAAGAAACAAAACTAAACCAAAACCTCTTTCAGAGTCCATGCAGTTCTGTACATTCCCCATTTTCATTCTGAGAAAAAATTCTCATTATCAGTAAAGCTTGAAACAATTCTAGCAGGTTCTGTCTAGACTGTGCTGTGTCATGCTTGATGCCTTCTTTCAGCCTTGCTCTCTCATCCTGCTTAGCCCCTTTTCAGCCTGCTCTTGGCTTTTCTTTCCATCCAAAACAGTACTGGTGAGAGTGGCTGTTACATGCATATACCTGATCATTACATGGATATCACTCATATGTGGGAGCCTTCCATCTATTTCCTCACAGGGGAGCACTTCCAGGTCTCACAGTTTGGATAGATACATAACATACGTATATGCTTTCTCAACATACCCTGTTCGTTTTTTTTTTGCCTATGGTGAGATATATCATATATCTTTCTTTTATTACGAGGGTGGTGAGGCACTGGAACAGGTTGCCCATCCCTGGCAGTGTTCAAGGCCAGGTTGGATGAGGCTTTGAGCAGCGTGACTGAGTGGAAGGTGTCCAGGTGCACGGCAGGAGGGTTGGAACTGTATAATCTTTAAGGTCCCTTCCAACTCAAACCATTCTATGATTCTATGATATATTCCCTGTACACACTGAATGGGAGGGGAAGATGCCATGATTTATGCAAGTTGTATTAAATGCTTGTCTGTAATAGGCAAATCACTTATTTATATAGTTTTGCGTGCATGTGTTGGTATTAAAAATGTCACACGACCAGTTGACATGTACGTGCTTTTTTCTCAATTGTATTAAAACACATTGTTTTCCATTTGTGATCTAGGGTTCTCCAGGGCTCACAGGCTTAGTTGGACCCAAAGGTATACGAGTAAGTATATTTTAAACAAACTAGTTTGTATTAAACATCATGCTAAATGCCATCTTGGTTCAATAATTTGCAAAAAATAAAACCAAAACATTACATATAATTTTAAAGTATTTTTAACATTTACGACATACAGTATGCACATGCATTATCTATTTTTTAGAACTTTTGCTTTTTTTTGCTGCATCTTATGGACAAGGTTCAAATTGTATGTATTTAGTAGTGGGGTGTGTTATGAAAAAGACAGACCAGAATTCCCTGAAGATTTGTTTTGGTTTTTTTTTGCTGTCGGCAAAACCAATCTATGTTAACAGTGCATAAGCTACCATTCTACTTGGGTCACCATCAGAGGGGTAAGGAAATAATGATCTTTTGATAGAATCATACTTGCATTCATTGTTCTTATGAATGCAATCAAAAGAAAAATTGCATCATGAGCTTTTGCTTAATATTTGTAATATTATTATTCTGTTTTTATGTCATTAGGGAGTCCCAGGAATACCTGGATTTTCAGGTCCCCCAGGCCTTCCAGTAAGTAAAAATTAAACTGATTTAACTATTTCTCTCTTATTACAGTCTTTAGTACAGTTTTCCTAAGCCCAGCATGCTCACTCTAGTCTTAACATCAGCATTTTCTCTGTCAATTAGCCTAGAGATAAAAATCTTAGCATCATTAATTCTTACTCCTTGTAATAATTTAAGAACACATTGTAGTCTCTCAGGTTTTGTGAAACACTGCTCCGCAATAAACTCCTTCAGTGTTGTTGTAAGGTAATGTGGATGTACAAAACCAGAACTTGTATCAATTTTGCACTTCTTTTTAGGGTAAACCGGGTAGTGTTGGACCTCCTGGGCATTCAGGTGTTCCAGGATGCAATGGCACAAAGGTACAAACCAAGCTAAATGTCATGGAGATTGTGTTTGACTATGCTTGGGAACAGCCGAAAAGCATTCTGATTTTTAACCCTGATATACAAAAGGTTTGATTTGTTATGGTTTGTGACTTTATCGCTGGGAAAAATTTGACTCACGAGGCCAAAGGAAGAAAAATGTAGCCTTTTTGTGTAAGACAAATTATATTAAATTAAATAATGCATGTTAATGTTTTTTTCTAAAAAGTTAAGAATAATGTTTGATATTTTGACAGATAAAAGCTTTTTCATTAAATCCAGAAGACCTAATCAGCTTTGTCCCACCTGTCCTTCTGTTGAAATGTGTTAGAGAAGAGATAAATCGTTCATTAATTTTATTTCATCAGTATCTAGCTTGCAGTTGATAATTTATAAATCCTGAAAGCAATTAAAAGAAAAGGCTTAATGTTAAGTTACAGATTTACTGGTTTTTCTTTGCTCTATGACAAATGCTTCCAGCATTCTGAAAGAGGGAGTCAGAAGAATGCCTACAACAGAAAATCATATCTTTCTAGTGAAACAGTAAACTGATCTGACCTAGGTAATAAATCCTACTGTCTAGGATAGGTATCAGGACCCATACAGTGAAGCTGTGCCAATTCTAGCAAATATGGTGGTAATGCAACTCACAATTTTAGTATGGTAACATAAGAAACTTCTTTTGTAATCACATTTGCTAAAACCAGACCACATAATAAACACTAATATGCATTAACAGTCACTGTTACTACTTTCAGGGCGATCAAGGTTTTCCAGGTCTTCCAGGTAGAAGAGGTGCTCCAGGTGTTCCAGTAGGTGTTTGTGAAATTGTTTGTGTACATTTTCACCACATAAAGATATTCACTGAGGGAGTGTAAAGCCTCACATTAGCTGGTATTCACAACAGTTGAAATGTATAGGTATCCCCATTCTACTGATATGAAAACTGTGGTAAAGAAGCTGAAGTTAAAAGTAATGTTTTATTGACTGCATGTTGGGCCTCAACTTCTTAGTTAATAAGTGCATGCAGATTCGCTCTTTAGTGTCTCAAGGGACGCTCATGAAAATTTACCGGATTACTCAGATCTCTAAGGCTGTCCAATATGCATTTAATAGATTGCAGTTTCAGTTCATGCCTAAATATCTGAGGATATGGCCCAATTCAGTCAATTAAGAACCAGGAATTAAACGCAGAACCTCTCTTTCTGGGTACTTCGCTTTAACGCTAGATTTGGTTTTTCTCTGTAGAAATGTGTCTTTAAAAGAAGTTTTTAAAGCTTCTAAACAAATAGAAAAGGAATGCTGTCTCTCAAGTTCCAGAGACTTCAAATCTAATGACTTCTAAACGTTATCTTTACCAGCTCTCCTGATTTTTATTTATTTTTTTATTAAGGTCAGGCTTCAAAACTGCTCCGCCTTCACTTGTAGAGTTGTTACTGTGAGACAAGACTATTTTTCAACAATATGCCCTTTCTTCTTAAATTGAAGTCTGGTACATTAAACATGTATCTGGCTGTATACAACATCCATGAAAATAAATCAGTTTAGGATCAGTGAGCTTAGAGAATATTCATGTGTCTTTTCACCACTGTCTCTTTTACTTCTCTGTTTTACTAATATAATTGTTCTTCTCTCTAGGGTGTTGCTGGCATCAAAGGAGAGAAGGTCAGTTATTTACACCATATAATGTGAAATATTTATTGGTGATTAACAATTTGTGTCTATGTTCACTGATGGAAGAGTTCTTAATATCTCCATTCATGGGAAACAGAAGGTTTACCATCAAGAATAAACAAGCAAAAAGTTTGGGTGCTTTATCCATACTAGTTGCATTAGAAGATCTATTCCATTACAAAGTTCTACCGCATAACTTTGAATCTTCCTTATTATCTAATTGTCCAGGGATGCCCTGCAGATGGATATAACCAAGTGTATGATGCAAAAGGTGATCCTGGATTGCCAGGAATGCCTGGACTTCAGGTAATTCAGGTTTAATTCAGACTGTGAGAGATATATATCTGCATGTGAAAATATATGTATGCATGTATATATATAAATATTTAAAACACATTATACATAATGTGTGTATGTTAGGTTTTGGATATTACATGTAATTTAAATGTATTGCATATTTTATACAGATACAGTATTTTTTTTTACAATTATTTCACTAATTGATAAACCAGAAAATAATTCTGTGTCTTAAAGATAAATTTTAACTTTATATAATCCAATTAATACTATGTATTCAAATTCTTCCTGCTGACTTTACAAACCAGAGTACACCAAGACAATAGTACTCAATTTTGCCATCAGAAGCAATAGTGTCCATTATGTGTCAGTGAAGCAAGATGGGAAAGTCAGGTTTCAAACAAACAACCATACTTCAGAAATGAAGACAAAATGGTCATAAATTTAGGGGTTTACTCCTACATATAGAATAGGTCAGTTGAAAGGGATCTACAACAACCATCTAGTTCAACTGTAAAATTCCCCATGAAGTAAGATTTAGAGCAGCTCAGCTTACAGAGTACTAGAAAGGACTGTATGATCCATATTAAAAAACTGAGATCAATGGGAGAAGGAAGAGCAGACATTTCTCTTGACTGTTGTAAAATAATTAGAGGACAGTAGAAAAATAAAGGAAAATATAGAAAAATGAAGGAAAATAAAAAATTAACAATTTCTTTGAAAATGAAGCTTTGAGGTATAGATCTTATTGCATAGAATATTTGAAAAATTAAAAGCTTGTTAGAGCTAGCAATAGGACTACATGGACCATGAGAATATCCACAATTAAATAGGACGTATGTGCTCACTTGAGTAGTTTTTAGAGCAGTTTTCTCATGTTTCAAAACATATGCAAACCAATGAAGCAGTGAAAAGAAATTATATTTCTGTGTTATCCTGAGACATGGAAAGGAAATCCAGAGAGAGTGCTGTTCCTCTGTTTGTTACTCAGTTCATTGAATTTATCACTGTGTTTTGCTCATCATCTTGCCAGGAGATTTAGTCTCTTCTTTTAACATGCAGGGTGCCCAGGGTGCTCAAGGATATCCAGGAGAAATCGGACCACAGGGCCCTCCAGGAGCTCCAGTGAGTATGAATTTGTCTTACCTGTTACTTTAACCTTTGATCTTCCCAGGAATCTGTGGAATTACACAGATAAAAGTACTGGACTCTCACAGACATGTTTGAGATCTAGAGACATGCATGCAAAATCCATATCCCTCTGAACATATCCGGGGTTTGTTACGGTTCTTTTTTCCCCAGTTTCTTTTGATTCATTTTATCCATGATAATTTCTGCATTTTCAGAAGAATCCATGTCCATGTAGACATAAATTTTAATTTATAAAAAATTACCCATAAGGTCAGTTTAAGTACTAATGTGTGTAACTGTGAGAGAGATGTATATATTTGCAAATAGGCTGTCCAGACATTCTGTCACAACAAATTGTGGCTATAAAGATCAAAAAATAAAACTAGTGATGTAACTCACACAAAAATTGGATACTTAAAAACCACCTACATTGGTGCTGAAGATTGTAATTCTTTTTTTCCTTTTTTATAGGGTATGCCAGGGAAAGCAGGACCTCCTGGACCTAAGGTAGTCTGAGATTGGTAATAAAAATGAAAACTTTCTATTATGTGTAACACCAATTAACTCATTTTATAGGTGTTTTTAAAATCTAAAAAAATCATAACATTTGTTTTTTTTTTTACAGGGTCTTATGGGACTGAAAGTAATAGGAGCCAAAGGAAGAAAGGTAATTGTATAAAATGCCTACATCTTTTTTAAGTTTTGTTTCTGTTTTCTGCTTTTTCTGATATACTATGGTGAAGTGTTTGGGGAGAGTAAGTACTGTGAGATAAAAATTTTCAGTGTATATGTGAAGTCTTTTATTGGAACATGGAAACATGGCCATTCATACCTAAGGACAAACTGTTTTCATGCAAGAGCCAATGATATAAACTTCCTGATAGAACAGTAGAAACCCAAGAGGAGCCAGTAGTTAATATTTACTAACAAATAGCATTAAATCCATTTAGATATTATTTGCACAGTGTTCCTAAATGCTTATCTAAGCATGTAAACATTGGTAAATACATAGCATCTTAGACTCACAGCTTCTTATGTCCAACATCTTTTTGGTGCCACCCTTTATGCTGCTAGAAAACCCACATTCTGAATAGAAATTGGATGACTTGTCATCCATATTCTTACTTGTATCCCATATAATTGATGTTAAGCTAGAAATGACTGCGAATACATATATTGACTCTCTGGACTTCGGCTGCAGCTGGAGAACCAGTGTAATCTGTCTAAAGGTCCTTTCAAGACCTTGATGCATCTCGCACGCTAGCTGGTCTGCACAGATTCAGCTGTGAACAGAAACAACACTATCTGACAGTGGGATTGTTTATAACTTTGTAATTACTACTGGGCATGTGCTAGAAGTTTCCTGGGAAAATTTCTGTAAATAGAATTGATTATTCATCAGGATTAGCTCAGGTGAACATGGAGCATGTGGCTTTCTTATGAAAGAGTGATGCATTCTTTAGTGTTACTCTGCAGTTGCATGCAAAGACATGCAACTGGCTTAAAATCACTGGGAATTATAGATGTGGTTTTGTTGAGCTCCACAGGAAAGACCACATTTAGGACTTTCCCTGTTCTAAAAGATCCTTAATGAAAAAGTGTACTTCAATATTAATGTTTTCAGTTAAGCACATATGGAATGTAATTGTATCAGTCAGGACTGTTAGTCATCTCCCTGTAGTTCACAGACTTTAGTTTTGAGCATGTCATCTAAGGCAGTTAACGTATTTTATTGTTTGACTTAGTCAGTTTGAGACAAAAGCTTTAATTAAGGAGATAATTTTATTTTATATAGAGTTAAAATGATTGTGTGACATTTAAACAGAGTATTAAAAATTCAAGCTAATTCTAGATACTTTAACAGAAATCAACATATGCATTTTTATATTTCCCAGCTAGGACAATGTTTTTGTAGTAGTCTTAAATCTCCCATATGTCTTTTTTTATTGGAAGATAAATAGCAAGGAAATAGAAATGTTACCTGTGTTAACAGCAAAGTGTAATGACAGAAAAATTATCATAAATTCAAAAGTATAGTGATAGTAATTTGAAACAATAAAAAACCACTGTTTTAATTGCTCTATTTTTCTTTCAAGGGTGACATTGGTTTAACTGGACCCCCTGGACCCCCAGGAACTGTTATTGTGACATTAAGTGGACCAGACAACATGACGGTAGTAAAATTATTAAACATTACATTCAGATAAGCCATCTTACTAGGTTGTACTTTGAGAGCACTTTTTCATCTTCATTGTTCCAATAGCATTTTCTTTTACCCATCCTGACATTTCTCAGACTTGTTCAGTTAGATACCGTGCTCTTATTAGAGTATGTCTGTACAGCCAACTCAGCTTATTAGTAACACACTTGCTGTGGATCTCTGGATACACAAAAGGTAAACCACTCTCAGCCTTACCAAATCAACACACATTTTTGGAATGGCTATCAGAGCCACAGATGCTTTGACCTCTGGGCCTTGCCACTGAAAATATCAGGACATTGAGCTACCAGAGTTTCACAAAAGCGTGTAAGTTCATGTACATTTCATAGTTTTTCTCATTGGTTTTACTGCAACATGAATAATCACGGAAAGAGTTGGAAAAACAGTGAGAACTGGAGAAAGGAAATACTCTGATTAAGCTTGCATTTTAGTTATTGTTTTGTGAATTAAAATTCTTGCATTTTGTCCTTATATAGAACTTAAACAGCAGTAGTTCATACAGTTTTAAGTCTTCACATATTAACAGAACAAGTCTACAACATCTTATTTACTGTTTTCCTTATTTAATTTGCATCTAATCCATGGAGTTATCAAAATTCTCTCTCCATTATGTGCTAAAATAAAAAGTTAATTTTGCATCAAGACTGTATTGAGGAGGGCAGAGAATGATTGCAGAAGCAAGGTTCAACTTTTAGACAGAGCAACTGTTCTCTGTTTAAATAAAATCAAAACCACTTGGAGTACTTCCCCATCACAGTTGTAGAAGTTTATCATGGGGGAATGGTGGTTTCTTCAGAGTCACTCAGTGTTAAGGTTCAAAAACCTCTTACATATATAGTTTGGGCCATGAGTCTAACCAGGTAATAACTAGGCAGTCTATGAACTTTGACTTTACAGTGACCTTAGGATGTGGCCCAATACATAATAGTACTACACAGTAGGGTAATTTAATCCTGAGCCCACAGTGGCAAGGATTGCGTGGGTAACAACTGCATTTACATATTGTAGGTAACTAGCTTCAGTGAAGCAACTGAGGTGTATATTTTTCACTTGGAATTTGTTTCCATCTGTGGGAATACTTACTCCAGTCCCTCTGCATGCAACCAGAAGTAGATTATTTTGAACTTGCCATGTTCAGACATATCTGTAGAGCCAGTTTCTTTTTCAAGCATTGTAGATTTCGGCAGAAGTGCTGATATGAAGATTCTGTTTCTTAGTAATTTAAGTAGAACCATCTCTGCTTAAAGAAGTTTGATGGTAACATAAGGATTTCCTATTTTTAAAACTTGAGTGTTAAAAGATCCAAGAGACCATATTAAAATTTTACTTTCTGTGTAATAGGACTTGAAAGGAGAGAAAGGAGATAAAGGATCAAGAGGACTTCCAGGGCCAATGGGGTTTACAGTAAGTGACCAGAAGTAAATCCAGATGTTCAGATGTTCTATTCTAGAATAGAATATAAATTAATAACATTCTAACTGTACTTAATTTTTAGACTATTTTTTAAAGATAACAAAATTATAAAAGATACATTTAATTTAGAAAAGGTGAGTCTCAATATGTATGTATCTTGAGTATGGTTTTATTACAGGGGCCAGTTGGTGACTCTCAAAGTGAAAAGGGTGACCGAGGAGAACCCGGAATACAGGTATGTATAAACAATTGAATACATATGTTAGTCTTTTCTGAAGAGCAGTTTTGCACTCAAAAGCTCTTTCATCCAGTAAACCTGACCAGAGAGCTGAAAGTCAAATCACTCTTCTTACAGGTTCACATACCATGAGTACATGAAGTAAAGGTCAGGTGATGGTGGATGCACTTCTATTTGTTTTGCTGTAAAGTTTCTACTGTTGAAACTTAATTTAAAAAAAAAAAAAAAAAAGTGGTCTTTGAACATGGACTGGCTTTATAGTGCCAGAGTATTCATAGAAGAGAATTAAAACCACTGGGTTTACTTAAAGCAGTAGAGTTAAATTAGCATGCTCAACCAGCAAGTATGTGGGGATGTGAAGAAAGTTGTTATAAGGGAATTATTCTCTTAAGGGTATAATATGAGAAAAAAATCATATGTTTATCTTAAAAAGCATATACATTAAGAGATAATTTATTGGAGTATATCTACATTTTGAAGGGAATTAAATAGAAAATTACCATTTCACATTCAAATGGCTTTCAAAGTTTCAGATAAAGACTAACCAATGAAAGATGCAAGTTCTTAGTAACTAAAATTAAATGAATTTATAACAGTTCAATAATATTTAATTAGGGAAGAACCCTAAAATACCCAAATAAATTACATTTTTCTTGTAACATTTTCAGAACAAAGCACTTTAATACCAGATGCATTTTGATAGCAATAGTAAGAAAATTAATTTTCAAATGAAATATTTCATTCAGTCCAAACATGCATATTTTGAAACTTTTCCCGTACTTCTTGTGGTTGCAATAAATTTATTTTGCAAGGAAAGGTAGCAAGACAGACCAGTGCTACCTTTAGATTGCTCTTTTTTCAATTGCATGGTACTATAGCAATGATTATGCTAACTTGATTGTTATTTTTATTATTCCTATACATTATGAAAATTTTAATTTTGATTTGAGTTACTGGTGTACAGTAATAAAAGTTATTGCTAACCAATGTATGGTATTCTTCCTCCATCTTCTGTGTTTCTTATGTCTTCTTCTTGCATAAGCCCAGTCCTGTCATGCAGTGTTTTTTAGAACTCTTAGTTGACCTCTCCCTTCCTCCTTTGTGGAGGAAATAGTAGAGCACTCTTCTGCCTACTGATCTTGAAGAATGCTAAGAAAACACAAATTGTGTTAAGATATTGACTGACTGGTTACTCTAAAATGAAAACAAAATGTTTCCTTTGCTATTGAAATTACATCAGTGAGAACAATATATCAAACGATGCAGATTTTATATTCTAGGAGAAAACATTATTTTTGCAAGGAAGTTTGGAAACTGGTCACATCATTCCAGCTCCCCTTCTTCTCTTATAAAAGAGTATCATGTTTTATAAGGTCTGCCATCTTTTGAGTATTGCTGTTTTTTCGTGAGGTTTACATTATAATTCATGGTCAGGTCATTATTTCAAAAATAAAGTTTCATTGATTTATTCTGTGCAAAAAAAATTTCTAAAGACTTACTTTCCCCTGCTGTTCTGAGATTGTAATCTTCCACCCCCCTTTTATGTTATCACTGCCTTCCTCCTGTGGATTTTAATGGATCGGCTTTTCCTCACTTCTGCCTTCAAGGTGGCAAGCAGGGTATCCATATTCATAATTAGGTTTACATTTCATTCTGTTTCTCTCCCCATTTTTCCCCCTTCTCTCCCTTCCGTTTGTCTTCTTTTTTTTTTTTTTTTTTTTTGTTATTGTTGTGTATTGCTTGACATGTATTGTTGCCACACTAGATACCAGGACCTCAGTGGAAGGCTGTCTGATGTGCTGAGTGCCATAGGAAACTGGAGTTACCTCTGGCATGCTGCCTCCTGTTTTCACTTTTCCATCTACTGCCCTCCTTCCAATCCCTTTGAAGTGTGCTCCCTATTCTTTTTCAATAAATAATTTCTCTTCAAGTCACCTCTTAAACCCATTTCCTGCAAGAGAACAATTTCCTTTTAGTGTCTTTCTTTGCTTACTATTAGAAGGGCTGCTAGCTCCTGTATTATCATTTGTCTTGCTTCTGCAAGGACCTGATTTTGCACCAAGCTTTCTGCACTTGCCTGGCACTTTGTGCTAGTGAAGTGTCTGCCTCAACTAACCCTCCACAGGAAAAGAAATATCCAGGGGGATATTATATGATAATATGAGTTTTAAGAGCATCAATTATGATTAGAAATAATATTTTTAGAATAATCTTAATAGCATTTCAAAATCTGTAAAGACCTAAAATACAGCTACCTGCACAACATTTAGTTGTTATACTCTTTGAATACAATAACCCCTCTTAGGATCTTAGTTTATTTTTACTTTTTGTTATGTTTTTCCGTTGTAGGGTATACCAGGAAAAGATGGTGCTCCAGGTCCACCTGGCTTACCGGTAAAGAAGAAAAGCTTTTAAAAGTTTTCTAATAGTCATCTATTTATCATGGTCATATCTTCCTGTCATAGCTTTTTCCCGTTTGAAAATGTTGATTTGCATACACTGTGAAACATTTCCTTTTACACAGCTGGTGTTTGGACATACCATGTTGTCAGAGATGTATGCAAGAGAGAGAGGCTCAGTTCATAGGTGTCTCTTCTGTGTTAAATAAAAAGACCTATTGCTTGCTGCTACCTAATGAGTATGAGACACAGTCCAAGTTATGACAAATTAATTTTACTGACTTTCATTCTGTTTAGTCAAATTGAAATTTTTGCAAAAGGCTTATACTTTCACTTCAGCATAAATCTAGCAGCAAAATGAATAGTTTTTAATCACTAGAAACAAAGATATTCTGTCAGAGTCACAGCTGCCTTGGCCTGAAATTAGATGACTGATAGAAATTAAAACTACCATCTTGTCATCATAAATGTGCAATTTATAACCAAAATTATCTCATTTGTGTACTAATTTAAAAGCAAAAGTTGTTCAAATGTATTTGGAATACTGTATTCAATTGGTTAAATGTCCAGTCTTTAATATTCACTTCCACTTTAACAACATCATTAGGGTCACAGTGACCTTACAAATATCTTATCAAAATTTTTATTATCAGAATAGCACATTTTACGTATATCGTACTGAGGCATCATCTTCTTCATGACCTTCACAGGCAGTCTAAACACATTCCAGTCTGAAAAAGAACGTGGAATGAGAGACCACAAAGGTCTACTGCATCAGCTAACAAAAAACTTTCTGTCATGACAAAGACATGACAAAAGTCATGCTCTGTTCCTATTTCAACTATACTATTAGTGCATTCAACTGCATAAGACCTTGCATGTATATGTTTACAGAAAGCCTTAGCAGCAGTGTGCACTATTTTCCCACCTAGTCTTGCTGACACCTCTTGAGATCACCACCATCATGCAGACTGACCACGTTCTGGGAGAGGGAGTTGCTGAATGCAAGTCTCTCATTGTGTTCCATTTCTCCCCTTTTAGAAATAGTTTGCAGAAGGAGAACAAACCAAAGCCTCCTATACATGTGCTGTCTGCAGCAGCTCTACCCTGGGATTGGTGGAGTGTGCTGTTACAAAGGCAGGTTTAGAGAAGGGACCTGCAGTATTTCCTACAGACAATGGAACTGTACCCCAAACTGAGTCTTCCCCTGAGATTTCTTTCCCTGAGCAAGCCACATTCACCTTGCTATCACCATGAAAGATTAAAGCTTTCCATTTTATATCTTACTGATGACAGTGCTAAAAGAGTAATCCTCATGAAATTGTGTACTGTCACCTGCAGGGACAAAATGGTGAACAGGGCAAACAAGGACTGGCTGGCAGGCAAGGAGCTAAGGTATCATCTAATGGTTTTATTGTTGTTTTTGAGAATGAAAATAACGTGTGTTTTGAGATTATTATATCAGGTTTTCTTATCACTGTGTATACAATATGTTATTCTTTACCTAACAGATGACAAGTAATGTTTTCATGGAATGGGGTATAGATCAGCTGAAATAGATCATGTGTTTGAACTAGTGTCCATCTATGCCTGCTGAGTTTTTGGTGTATGTGGCTGAATAGTTGTGCAAGGAACAGACGGGGGGTAGTGAAGGACTGTCAGGAGCCGTTCTTCTTTAATGTTATGAGCAATGTACTGAAGTAGCAGTGGGTACCAAATGCCATGTGTTGTTTTTTTATTAAAAAAAAACCTCTCTGTTCTCTCATGAAGGGGAGGAAAGGAAACACTGGTCCACCTGGAGCTTGTGGTCGAGTAAGTGTAAATTATCTTAATAATATACTTTTTCTAAACTATTAGAAAAAGAATAAGCCAAACTGACTGTAAGAGGCAATAACAGATGTTCCATGATGCTCCAACTGAGCCATGGCTTTCTTAAAATACTGATGTCACAAGGAGTCTCACAGAGATGGCATCTTCCTTCGTGTGGAGCTGGATGTATGACTGGGCCTCATTTAGACCTCAGTCAGTTCCAGCAGTTTTGCCAGGAGATTGAACAGTCACAGAACATTTGCAGAAATTCACAGGAGTTAATTTTTAAACCAATCTCTGATCAGCTCCAAAATAGGAGGTGTTAATTTTAAAATCCTAAGGAGACTTTTTAAAGAAAGCAAGACATACTATGAGTAAAATTTCTCTGTCCAGTCATACTATCTCACTAGTGGCTTTCTTAAAGGCCCCAGGCACACCAAAAGGAAACCTTCTGCCCAAATTGTTCAAAATAAATGATACAGTAAACAGCTGTATCATTTGTGGTATTGATTTTTTGAAAAGCAATGATTTTTTAGTACTCTATAGGAACAAAGTAAAAATTTTTATTTTTAAGTAGTTTTTTATTAATTTTAAAATTTGTGCATTAGTAGTCATTTTAAATTTCTGTGTGATGTTTACATATCAAGGCACAAGAATTATTATAATGCTGATTTGCCAGTAATGGTGCCCATGCAAAATAATCTAGAAAAGAACAAAAATTTGTAGTTACAAGAAAAATAGTTACAGCCAATTGCTTTTAGATTTTGCCTGTCATTTGTACAGACTTTGAAACATCGTAAAATTAAACTTCAATAAACTAAGCGTTACTTTTTATAGGAATTAATGTTTAATGCACATGTGATTTAAGTAGCTGATTTTTATCAGTTTTCATGTATGATTATTTAAAAGGGTGTTATGGATATAACTGACGATGCTTTGAGCCAATGGAATAGACTAAGTGATTCTTAGAGGTTTCCTTCAAGAGTATTTTCTGTTTCATGCTACTGTAATATTCATGACTGAGTTTCCAACTTAAACCTTGCCTGTATAATTGCATTTATAAGCAGTTCTTTGGGAGTTGAGGAATTCAGCTGAAATCCCTATTTGTACAGGTCTCTTGGCATTTATCTGTGTGTAACAATTATGATTTCATTTCTGGCTGCTTGTAATTAACATGCGATTAGGAAGGTTTTGTGGTGTCATAACACCTGAATGATGAGATCATAACATTGTTCTAACTAGATGGAATGGTCACAATGAGGTACTGTGCTTCTCTCTTCATTCTTACTATTTCTTTTCTTAACATTTTTCTCTTAAGACTGAATATTATGATAGTGTGGTTGGTGAAAAAGGAGATGAAGGACTCCCTGGACCTCCAGGACCAAAAGGTCAACGTGGCATGCCTGGTGAGTGGGACATCAAACCCAGAATCTTTTAGCAAGAGCTCTCCATTCAAAGTGCTTGTTGCAGGTTAGGTTTTTGAGCACCTAACAACCTGCTTCTGCCTTTACAAGAGTATTTCCAAATTACTCCCATCAAATTGCAGAATTGAGAAGTGTCCTGAGGCTTTGATTTATGGCTGTATTTCCTCTTAAAAATAATGAAGTTAGCACATTTCTTTGCACAAATAATTGAGTTGATCACTAAGCTCACTGACATCCTCTCTAATGACCATCAGGGCTGTATGTTTCCTGTTAAATGTAATGCACTATTTTTTTCTCTTCTTCCATAGTTTATCTTATGCCATTTTTATTGCCTTTTCCAAAATAGTGATCTGCAAGTTTGTATTTTGGCCATGATGTAAAATGAAAATGTACTGATTTGTTATTTGAGCTGTACCACAGTATAACAAGGATTTGCAGGCTGAACTCTGAGGCAGCATCTTGTAGGCTGTATCTTATACCCATCCAGCAAGTCCTTGCCTTTCATGTTTTGATGTTCTAACTTCATTAATATTTAGGTATCCAAGTGACTGTGTTGCATTCAGTGAATACACTTTGCTGTTATAAATATATTTTCATACTTCCAAGGGATGGCAACAGGGAAGTTAAGCTTGGAAAAGGTATTCATACATTGCTAAGAGGTAATATATTTAGTAGAGCAAATAATAGTGGCAAAAAGAAGCAAGTTTGTAGGCTTCTAAGTTGTTCTGAAGTAATTTGAGTGTATCTTCACCGAAGACAAATATGTTGGATCCTATTCGTACCTGTTTTAAACATCCATATCTTGCCAGATTTCAGCAAGAATTGTCAGTATTGCAACAGTTAGGTAAGTAGTAGATGCCTACATGGGTAAAACTGAATTCTTAAAAGATAAAATAAGCTCAAAATGCAGAAGCCCAAAGTTTGCAGTCAATATTACTGAGTAGTGACTTTGCAGAGTATAGAGTGGTTTAACTCAAGTTTTAAATACATTGCTTTTGCAGGGCCACAGGGTCCTCCTGGAGATGCTGGTAGACCAGGTATGTGTCATGATCCAGTGCCAACAATAAAATACATTATTCTGCCTGTTATACTGAATCAGCTTAGTGAAATCTTAATTTCAGAGGACTTTAAACATATCTTTTAAGTGGTAAAAAGTTGTCACACAAAAGCTTTGATGGGACAGGTATTTAAAGAGGGGTTAAAGATTTTTAATTTTTTTTTACATTCTCATTATGATTAATACATTACAAGATAAAAAAGTTTTGTGGGATGAAGTCAGTATGTTTGTCTCTTGCTCATCCTATCGAGTACTTACTTTGTTTTGAAATTCCATTTCTTCTGTATTTTTTCCTCTTTTGCTAGGTGTGTCAAGACCTGGTCTGAGAGGTCCCCCAGGTTTTCCTGGGCCAAAAGGAGCAAAAGGAGAGAAAGGACAAACTGGCTTGTGTATTGTAGGCCCTCCAGGACTACCTGGTATGACTGGTAGACCTGGTTCTGTTGGATTACCAGGTCCTCCAGGAGAACCAGGTGACGTTATATATAATAAGAACAAATCCAGAGTCAACTCAATAACTAATGTATGAGATTATATAAATACATTACTTACAGAGTATATTTGAGTAATACGGTTGAACATAATTTCTTTTTGGAAGTTTTGTTTTAGGATATTCATGAACACACATATGTAGTGAATATCTGTGCTCCATTGCTAATGAGAGTCTGTGGGGAAGATACAAGGTCTTCTCAAAATAAAAGTTTCTCACCTTTTTTGTGTAACTGCGACTCTAAAATGTGCTACTTTAAACCAGGAAAGACTAATGAGAGAAAATCCGTTATTTAATTCTTCCAAAAGTTGTACTAAATATATAAGACTAAATTCAGAAGGGGCTAATTTGAAAGCTAGAGAGATCACTTGCACGATCCATAGGTCTTAGTGGCCCTTAGGGCAGGTTTGAAGTTCTGGCAGCATGAAAATAAAGCAGTAGCCATTTGTAAAACTTCTAGAAACTGTATTAACTAGGAATGTGTCTTTATCTAGGGCTAACAATAGCATCATGTTTCTTTTAAATGGGGGATCGCCAAAACAAGTTTTTCTGAACCAGTACCAATGTAGCGCTTCTCACTCTGAAAAGTATGTCTCACAAATGTATTACCTTAGGAAGAGCTTGATGCATGCTCTGTTTTTCCACAGTAATAGTAAATACAGCAGAATAATTCTGTCAAAGATACATCAACAGCAATAATAAATTAGCCCTATTCATGATAAAAGACAGAATTATATTTCTGTTGATTCAGGTAAACTGCGAATACTTTCCCAGAAGGGCCTATGCTTTTTAAAGGCTAGGCAAATTGATCCAACAGTCTGCTGAGACTTATTTCAATATTACCATATTTATCCTCAAGTACGTCTAGTTACAAGTGGTTTGGATCTGTTCAGGTAGTTCTCTCTTTTAAATGAATCAGAATGTCTCAAGTTGGAAGGGACCCATAAGGATCAGAGTACAGCCTCCAGCTCATCCCTGCAACTTTTTTCTCTCTTTGCAACAAGAGAATTGTGTGAATAATCTGCTGATACAATGTTGCTGTGCTCATTTCATTAACAGGTAGGGTAACATTTAGAACAGGCCTACCAGGACTTCCTGGAGAACCAGGGTGTACAGGACCTCCGGGACCTCCAGGAGATATTGGCATGAAAGGTCAGTTCCAGGATGCTGCTGCTCACAAGTAGATGGTGCAATCTTTGTGGATCCTCATGAAATTTTGAATTTCATTTGCCTCTTAAGCCATTTGGTGAGTTTAGAGATTTAACAAAATTCATTAGGGATAGCAAATGTCTTCCTTCCCTTACAGTAAACAGCGGGTGAAAGAGCAGTGCATGTGCCAGTGCTGCACACCAACTGTACAGCACTGCAGCAGGATGTAGATCTGTAATAACTGTAGAAACAGTTATTACAGATTGGTAGGGTTATTTTATTCTCCTGTTGGTAAGTTCAACACTAGCAGTTGTTCTCTGAGAGCAGGTTCCTTCTGCACATTTCACTACAGAAGCTGCCGAATCTCTTTTCCACTTGCTAGTCATTGAAGTCACCCAGGCTGTTATGGAGCCATGTTAATCTGAAGCCTTTGTCCCCTGTCATCTTTTGATAGAATCTGTCTTATCAGTGGAGTGACTGTATCCAAATGGTTCACTAAAAAATCAAGGGATGTTCCTTCATTTTCAATTTACTGTAATAAGTTCTGATTCACTGTCTGACCACAGGTAATTTTGTAATGTGTTGGAATTGATCTTCCAACAAAATTAAGGCTATGATTCTATTGCTCTCTGGCCAAAAAGTGTCAGCCATCCTCTGTAACAAACTATGTAACACATTAATTAAGCTTGGGCATGACTGGTGTGGAACAACTAATGAATTAATTTTGTTTTAGGTGATGAAGCTCACGTGTGTACTGATTGCAGCTATATTCCGGGAATTCCTGGTCTTCGCGGTTCTCCTGGGCCACGTGGCCAAGATGGCATTCCTGGTAATTATCTTGCTTTTCCTAGCAGGATAGTAGAAAAGGCCAGTGATTTTGCTTTTAGAATAAGAACCAGTATGGGCATGTTCACAGCTTTCAGTACTTAAACTAGCCCTGACGTTGTGATGAGTGTGGGAGCCTGATGCAGCTCCATCCACCAATGGGAGCACAAGCCCTAAAAGAGGTGAAGTCAAAATGCTAATGGGCTTAGAGCCTAGAGCGTAGAGCCAGGTCAGTCTATGATGGAGCAGTAGATGTAACAAGTAAAATCATTCAATGCTGTGTGTGATTATCAGAGCTTGTCAAGATCCATGTCCTTTTTTTTCATTTTTCTTCATAAAATATGCTGTCTCTTTTGCAGGTAGAGAAGGAACAACAGGTCCAAAAGGTTCTCCAGGTTCTCCAGGAGCACCAGGGTTTCCAGGAGCTCAAGTAAGGCTTTGGTTTTTTGGGTTATTTGTCAGATCCCATAAGAATTATTTCAGAGAAACCTCATGGCTGGTTTTACTTGCATTGTCATACTGAGTGATCTCAATAGTTTGAGTTCTTTAGCAATGGATGTGTCTGCATAGGAGACCTAGGGAGATCTCTACTATGAAGTATGGCTGACCTAGCTTTATATGAACCTGTTTTGCTCAGTGCAGCAAGAAGTACAGCCCAGGCAGTGAGGGAGGTAAATACCTTTGTGATTAATCTGTGCTTCTGCCTGGTATGGGCAGTTTGCTTCAGTTCATCTACGTAATTCTGTGATCATGGCAGTGGCTGTAAAACATATAGAGTTTTGTATGCTGTGATCTTCATCAGACTTCTTACTTACCTTGTTCCCAGCATACTCAGGATTTGCTAAAGTTCCAGCGGTACAGAGAAACTTGCTTCTCATAATACCTTCTTCAGGGCTGCAAAGGACATTCCCTCTGGGGAAACATTATGAAGAGGGAAGGCTGACAGCTGCTGTCACAGACATACCATTTGGTTGTTCTGACTTGTGCCTGTAGTAGCAATTATTTATGGGAAATTATAGTTGGTGCTGTCTAATAAAAAAATGTCATGCACAATTGTGTATTCATTGTGGTGGTTGCTGTACAGGTGCAGAATGAGTCTGTTAACAGGCTTTTCCAGAAGGCTTCCAGGAGTTCATGAGCCCAAGATCCCTAAAGCCTAGTGTGCTTTCAGCTTGGACTGGTTTTGGCTGGAACAGAGTACCCATGAGGGTAACCCTCTAAGGGAGAAAGCAGGGAGAGGAGAAGTTAACTATGAATAGAGCCAACTATGGCAATTATAGTCACCTAATTGCCTGGGGAGATACTGTGTAGCAGAAATCTCTGGAGGCTGAGAGAGCTGGGCCTGTTTAGCCTGGAGAAGAGACAGACTGAGAGGGAATCTTCTCAATGCATACAAGTATCTTACAGGTGCGTGTCAAAAGGATGAGGCCAGACTCTTTTCAGTGGTACCCAGCAACAGAATAAGGGGCAGTGGGCACAAACTAAAACACAGGAAGATCCATCTGAATATGAGGAAGCACTTCTTTCTTTTGAGTGTGGCAGAGCACTGGGACAGGCTTCCCAAAGAGTTTGTGGTGTCTCCTTCCCTGGAGATACTCAAAACCCACCTGGACACCATCCTGTTCAACCTGCTGTAAGTAAACCTGCAGGAGAGTTAGACTAGATGATCTCCAGAGGTCCCTTCGAACCCAAAATATTGTGTGATTCTGTGATTTTAAGGTATTTTCTTGTACTGCCACCAAAACACTACAAGGTAGATAACAGTCTGATCCATTAAATGATCCTGCATTATTTCTGCTTATAATAGCATAAATGGAATGATAATCATGAGTTAAGGCAGGAGGGAAAGAAAAAACACTAAAAAACTTGTATATTGAAGTGTGCCATTACAGTGAATAAGATGAAGATTAAGAAAATTACTCTTAAGTATTTAATAAAGAAAAAAAAGAAAGAGCTTGAAAACAGCTGACATGTCTAGCACTGAAAATCTTTTGATTACTGTTGCAGGGACCTCCAGGTTTTAAGGGACATCAAGGATATAAAGGATCAAAAGGTGAGCCTGGATACGTGTATCCAGAAGGGCCAAAAGGTGAGCGAGGAGATCCAGGGCCCAGGGGAGACAAAGGAAGAAAAGGTTCAAGTGGATTTGTGGGAAGACCTGGCTCTAAAGGATCAAAAGGTTCCAAAGGTGAAGAGGTGGGTATGCACTGTTTACAATTAATACAGAATTCATGAAAGCCTAAATCAGTATTTATATCTTGTACAACAGCCTGTTTTATCTGTTCAGATACTTTAAGTGAAAATCCTTTACCTGACTTAGGAGTACTATGCTCAACTATAGCAACCAATATGCAGAACCAACATGTATGAAAGAATGAGAGTAAATAGTCTTACATTATCAGAGAAAGATGAGGCTATTATAGGTACATGTTGCTGACAAACCTCAGCAGTCTTTTGTGGTGTCAGCCTGGATATTTACATTGGAGCATTATCTTGGATTCCTGTGATGAATAAGATAAACAAAAGAATAAGCAAAAAAAAAAAAAAAAAAGGAGGGGGGGGGCAAAAAAAAAACACCAACCAAAAAACCCCCAAAATAAAAAACCAAACCAGTTTTCCTGACTGCTTATAATGCTTAAAAGGAGATGATATTTCAAATAGCTCCTGTTCAGTCTGTAGGAGTTAATCTTGAGTCAGGGCTGGAAGAAACCACAAAAGCTAGGAGGGCTGACCATAAAAAGAGTTAGGGCAGAGCTTTTTGTTCAGCAGAAACAAAACCTAGCAATTATTGTTGTGTGTGTTGGCTGAAAAACTGTTAAAGTGATTCAGATATAACTGTCTCTAAACCTGACTCCACAGTATTCAAAGAGGATCAGAGCTGAGGTGCTGTTTGTTTTGTTGGTTTTTGTTTTGTTTGGGTTTTTTACCAGACTTGTTTTAAGAAGTGTATAATGCTATAATGCCACAGTGACTGCAAAATCAAGCTGCTTTATTTATTTGTACTATTTCCCTCTTACTAACCATCTATTTTTAACCTTTGATATTAAAATTTATATCCTTTTAATCACAAGTAAATCAGAGGAAAAATTCCTCTTTAGTTAGCAGATCCACTCTGTTACTAAAGTAATACAAGATTATAGTCAGAGAATCGGCATTTTGTTATGAAAGCTGGTGTAGAAACCATGTAGCGCTTGGTATACACACATGTGTAATCATTAATAGGGACTGGCTGGTTCAAAAGGAGACAGAGGACTACCTGGATTGCCTGGCAGCCCTGGGCTTCCTGGAGAGATGGGGTTTCCTGGACTGCCAGGATATGGACCACAAGGAATAAGAGGTTTCAAAGGCTCTAAAGGAATACCTGGTCCACCTGGATTACCTGGAGAAGCTGGTTTGTAACTTCCTATATTACCATGTTTTACCTATGTTACAGGGTACTTGATTGAAATTTCAGACAGTGATGAAGTCAAAAACAGTGAAACATGGGAAGCTTTTCCTTGCTATGAGATTTCCATAGTGTTGTTCCAAGTTTGGTCATACTCAAGATAATAGTGAAAGTCCGAGGGTCATAACACAATTGAGGTTGGAAGGGACCCTTATGAGGTCTTCAGTCCAAATTTCTGCTAGGAGCAGTGTCAGCTGTGAGACCAAGTTACTCAAGGCATTATCCGGTTGAGCCTTGAAAGCCTCCAAGGACAAATACAGTACATCATCTCTGTGTAACCTCTTCTGGTGCTTGACTGTCCTCATCATGAAAAAATAAAAAAGTCTTTAAATATGCATCCAGTCATCACTTGTGTGAGCTGAGTCATCAGGGGAAATATGAAGGACTTGATCATTTTTGACCGCTGAAAACATTGACCGCTGAAAACATACCAGTGTATGTATTTATAGGCAAGCATAATCTGAAAGAACTCAAAGTTGGATGGCAGGTATAATCAAGTTTTCTCCAAGAGAATACCCGTTAAATCTTTAAGAAATGGATGTGCAGATTAAGCATTTCTCAATTGCATCTTTTTCCTGCTGACTTTGTGCTGCCTCTTCTGGGTCTCCACTAGACTGCAGGAGGGCTGATAAGGAAGCAGATGGGCTTGGTGTCAATAGAATTCTTTTGCTTTATGAAGCCAGGATCTGGAGGCTTTTAGAAATCTGTTGGAGTTTCAGAAATACGAAAACTTAAGATGTCTGCATTTTAACCAAGTAGATTGATCGCTAATAATTTTGAATGTTAAAGATTTCATACTGCCAAACTATAAATCTTGTAATCTTGATTATATATTTGCTGAAGGTCTGAAAGGAGAGGCTACTAGGATAGCACCATTACCTGGGCTGCCAGGACCTCAGGGACCAGGTGGTTTACCTGGACCCCCAGGAGTGCCTGGTAAGTACATATGCACCTAATACACTAAAACTCAGAGATAATCTGATGGGGATTTGTTTCCCTGCTCTGGCCAGATAAAACTGTTAGTGTTACTTTGAAATAACTATTAAAAGGAGTTATGGGTTACAGAAACTATGAAATTAGTTGTAACATTCCCTTTCAAGAAAACTAAGGGAGATGGATGTGAATAGGAAGGGCACACAGGGCTATGTCCCTGGTGTGCAGTATGGTAGAGATTCCAAGAAGTCCTATGCTATGACTTGGTTCCTCCAGGAACCAGAAACATCTGGAGCATATGCTGCAGCTTGTGTATCCAGAAGGACACCTTTGGCATAATTTTGACAAAAGTATATCCTAAAATATGCTGGGACTGCTGCAACCTTCAAAACAGAATGAACAAAATTAGGTTAAAGTACTTTTAATTGTCCTGAACCCCTTGCTCCTTCTCATGCTTTGCATGGGCACAATCAAAAAAGTAGCTGTATGAAGTTTCCTGCTTCCTTTTTGACGTGACTGTTGCTAACCATTGCTCTATGATGTTAAGAATGTGAGTTTCCTTTTTGGGGTGGGTTTTGGGCTTGGCTTCTAGGTGAGATTTTATTGTTTGCTGATGATTTTAGATTTTGCAGAAGTTTTTTAATGCACTGAAGGACACTAACTGACATTCAGGCTAACCATAAAGCATCTTTGTTTTGATTTTGTAGAACAATAGTCCTTAAAGCTGCCATGGATAGCACAAGAAAAATTCTTGGCAGCTTTATGGTAGCTTCTGTTCTTACAGTGGTTTCTTTTCCAAGCCTTACCCCTGTAATATGTGTTTGTATCTTCTCAACAAGTGGAAAATTTGTATTTGCAAGTAGTTGTTCTTAGAAGTCTGGAATTTGGTCAGATTGCATAAAAACTTAACTCACCCACTCATCCCTGCTTTGATACTGTGAACACAATTAGCATTTTAACTGTAAAAACTTGCTGTGGAGGAGAACTAGTGTCTAAGTTCTAATACAATCTAGAGTGGTATCCTAATTGATAACGATAAACTATAAACCACCTAATCTTACAAGCTGATGTTCTGTGGTAAGGTACATTACAGTTCACTTACTTTTTTTGTACAGGTAAGGCTGGAGCAAGAGGTCAGCCAGGTGATCCAGGACATCCAGGGCCAACAGGTGACACAGGCTTCCCAGGACTTGGGTTTCCAGGAAACCCAGGTCCAAAAGGTAAAAAAAAAAAACAAAAAACAAAAGGCAAAAATGGGAAACATTTACTTTTGGTTTTAGTCCACATTAAAAGCAATCAACATTTAAATAAACTAAAATTCAATAATTATTAGTCAGACAGACAAGTGTTTTTAGCCCTCTTGCGATTTACTGCTTTGAAGCTTATAAATTGGAAGTTTGAAATATTTCAAAGTATTTCAGAGAATCAAGTATCAAAGCTGGCAGGAGGAAAATATTTTAAGACATCGATGTTTCCTGGAATACAGCCCAAACAGGTGCAGCTCATCTGAGGGCCAACTTACTTCACGTGGATTCTCTTTACCTGGATATGTGTTACAAAGAGCTGTTTCTGTTCTTTAATTTTGGTTCTGTACAATGCAATACCTGCTCTAATGTGCAGGTAGCAGAAAGCATTTATAATGCTGAGAGTTTGGCCATTTCTCATGCAAAGTCATACCCCTCTTTGGACATCAGTAGTATTAAAAAATTCTCAGAATCCTGTCAGGATGGGGGAAGAAAAGAACGGGGAAAAAAAAAAAAAGCTCTGATGCTGACACTACTACAAGCTGCTTGTTAAAGAAAACAGTAGGGAACTGACATCAGAACAGCTTCACTTAAAAAAATCCTACATAACTGATTTGAAACAAGTAACCAAGTGTTATAGTCAATGTTGAGTGAGTACGTAAAGAACAAGATGCAGTGTGTCATATCAACTCTGAAATCAGGATGCTGTCCTCAGCTCATGTCAGCTACTTTAGTGTAAGAGGCTTGTAACTGCATCCATACGAATATCCATTTGTAAAATAAGGTGATAACTACAGCATCTGTACTGCCATTTAATTCCTTTTGCAGGAGATAAAGGACTTGCAGGAGGCAAAGGGTCACCGGGTTGTGAAGGAAAGATTGGAGATACAGGCCGAGCTGGAAACCTAGGACAACAAGGAGAAAAGGTTTGGTTAGAAACATAGTACAGACTTTTCCATAGGTCCCATTCATTAAATGTGACACTGAGCAAATAAATTAAGTGTAAGGAATACAGGAGCTTTTATGTTTCTTGACCAGTGACGCACAAGCTATGAAATTAAATTCTTTATATAAAACGGGGCTCAAGCCAAAATTTTAAATTCAGATACTGGACTTCAGAGGTCCAAGTGTTGGGGATGCTTCGGTACTCAGTTTTTAGGAGAATATTACATTCCTCACAGAAAAAAGCAACGCCATAGCTTCTGAAAAGATGGCTATTCAGAAATTGCAATTAAGCACATAATTGATGGAGGTGACAATTATGCATGCATTTAATTTAAGTGCTCCACTGAATTGAAACATAAAGGAAGTAGGTTGGAAGTAATACTGCAGCCACTCTCGCTGATTAACCGAAGCTACTCTACTGATGGCATATGTAAACATAGGATTATTGACTACTGTGTAATCAGGATTCAAATTTGAAAAAAAAATGGTAGCACCTAAGTGTTTTGAAGATATGGCATTTCTTTTTTGTGTGCATCCTCAAATGTCATTTGACATGGCGAAGTGTGTGGTTTGAGGTTGTGGATTTTATGTTTTTTTAATTATTATTTAATCTGTATTTGATGTCACAGAACAGCTGGATATGGAGTGGCCTTTGTGGTCCAAGTGTATCATCACTGACAGGCATAAGCTCAGCTCTAGTGACCTGCTTTATGGACATACTGATTTGCTGGTACTCAAAGCAACCAGCAGATTAGTCAGCCAAATAAACTAATTCAAACTTTTGATTCAGGGAATAGACATGGGACATTTGCAATAAAAACAGTCTTCATTGAAAACAATGGTCAGAAGAATGATTAAAAAAATACCAGTAACTGACTTTGAGTATTCTGAGACAGATCTGGGTGTTGACCTTGATTATTTAAATAAATGCTTTGATAAAAATATGACTATCATATAAAAATAAAGGAAAAGTTATGTTTCCACAAACTTAAGCCAAATTTTCAGATATAGATCCAAAGCTTTTCACAGCTACAGCAAGCATCAACAATGCAGTAAAGGCCAAATGGAGAAAAGTATCTTGCATTGCTTAGTAGCAATTTCTTAGAGTTTGGAGTCAGAGTTCAATAGCTGTCTAGAGGAATTACTCTGGTATGGAACCTGCAGCTGGTCTATAAGGAACATCCAGCAGTCTCCTGAACTGGAGCTATTAAAAGTTATAATGTGGAAGATCCCCAGGGAATGGTGAAAATTACCCTAATAAAAGAAGTTAACTGATCACACAGTGGAGAAATATTTTGGCAGACATGCAAAACATAGTGGATTTCTCTCTGTGTTGCAGGGTGACCCAGGCATGGTTATTCCTGGAGAGCCAGGTAGACTGGGTTCACCAGGAAGTCATGGCATTCCTGGCTTAAAAGGTGATGCTGGATTTCCAGGACTTCCAGGCCTACCAGGGCGTGCCGGACATGATGGTGATGATGGCCTAAGAGGTACTGTTGTCAAACAAGCTCAAGGAGCACAGCAAGTTGTTTAAGGAAAGGGAAACCAAGTAAAACAATGCTCACTCAAAGTCTGAAACTTCTAGTTAAATGATTGTGAATCCAATTTCCTCTCTTTTAGGAGAGCGTGGCTCACCTGGAGTTCCTGGAGATCCAGGTTTTCCAGGGAAACCTGCTGAATGTCTTATTGGCCTGCCAGGTTTGCCAGGTGGCCGGGGAGCTACAGGCCCACAAGGTAGGACCTTCTGAATCAACTGTGCAATTCACCTGGGTGGGTCTGGGGTTTGTTTCTGCTTTCCAATAGCCTGAGGGAGCTGAAGCTGTTCCTAGATATTGGTTATAGGATAGTATGTGAAAAAACGTGAGCCCATAAGAGATGTGCTTCCCTCAGATGGGAAGAAAACAGCCCTTTAAGAAAGCCCAAACAACCCACAACTCTCCTATATTTCCTGAACATGTATGTTGTCTTACAGATCTAATGTTTAGCCTTCAAACATACGGAGTTCAACAAGAGTTTCATGCTTATGATGGCAAGATAGAGGTGAAGGCTTAGTTTTCAGACAGTTGTACCATACTACACCATCACTCGTTTTTCCTAGGAGGAAGAGGTTCGCAAGGCTCCAAAGGAAAACCAGGTCCTCCTGGCTTGAGTATCCCAGGAATCTACGGACTGCCTGGGGAACCTGGATTAATAGGTCTTCATGGAAATACAGGATTACCTGGCCCCAAGGGACAGTCTGGAAGGCCAGGAATCTCTGGTGTGCCAGGTAAGGATTTCCCAAGTACGTTTTGACATAGAAATTCAGTCTCTGCAAAAATGTCTGTCATGCTTTTCCAAAATGAATATGCCAACATATTTTTCCATCAACAGCTTTCGTATATATTAAGATCTATCTATAAAACAAATCATCATTCCTTAAATGACGAGCATATCTTGAAGCTGTTATGACACAGTACTGATTTTTCTGTAGGTCTTCTGAGAATAGATGGGTACCTTACACTGGTTGTTGTACAATAATGTCCTTGCAGTAGGAAATTAAATGATTGACATTCAAAGCAACTCCCCAGCATAATGGAAGGGTATTTAGTTCTTTCTCAGCATCCATTTTCAAACAAATAGCTTGTTAATGCTGTCTTTTTTTTCTTAAAAAGAAAGTTCAGATCTTGAGGCTGACAGAGTTAAGTCAGATCAAACTCTGTCACCTTAATTAGAGCTAACTTTAAATAATGCAGTTAATTCCTGTAGGGATTGGTTGGTTGGTTTGTTTGTCTGTTTTTCAGATATGTGTTCAGATTTGATTTGTAGAATAAAATCTATTATGTAATGCTCCCTATCTCTCACAGATTCTTCATTAGTATCAAATCCTTCATTATTCTGTAGGAAGGAGATGGTACATAATTTTTTATAAAGCTATAAACTAAATGATAAACATGCACCACTTGACTCAGTCATGCAAGCAGACACTCCTGATGTCATTTGAGGGGAGTTGTCACGTCCTAGCTGGTCTTCAACTCCTGAGCCAGAAAGGAATGTCTTTCCCATACAACCCATAACAGATCTCCCATCCCTGTGTGGGTATCTCAGATATATTGTCCTCCCTAACAGTTATTCCATTCATTGATAGAAGCTGTTGCAGCTACTAATCTAAGGTAGTCTGGAGTTTACTGTGTGTATAAATGCTGTTCATGTGGTTAACGACTGGAAAGCTGGCTTGGACAGCATGCTTCAGAGATCAATATATATAAGAAAATATAAGCAATTAAATATTTAAATGATAGGCAGATGTGTAGTTTTCTGAAGTAATGTTCTGTTTTACTGATCAAATACTAGCAAATATGTTGCTGTTGCTTCAATTCCACAGGCTCAAGGGGAGAGCCAGGTATAATGGGCCTATTAGGAATTCCTGGACCCCCTGGCATTATTGGAAGACCAGGCAACCCGGGTATTAGAGGCAAGTGGCCTTAGCATTTGCCTTCATTATTATTTAGATTATAGAAACTTCCATGCTAAAGTTAGTCTTGTGATTCTTCTTGATGTATGGTTTCGTGCTTGAGTACACGTGTCATCCTAGAATTTCTTTGAGTCTTGGTAAGTCTTTGGCTTCTGTATATATGCAGTCTGCAGGCTGAATTACTACATTATTTAATTTTTTCAGCAGTTTTGAATTGCCACCTTTTCTATTTCTTTGGTATGTGTAAAAGTGGCTGGTAATCTGATAAATAAAGAGCAGAGAGCTTTTTTGCTTTATTTTTTTTGCATCCCATTCATCTAATATCAGTATTATATATTCAACAGATATAAGATTATACATATATTCAGTATAAGAAATAATTACTGTTTCTTGCCATAATCTGTGGTCGTATTTATTTTATTGATGATTGGAGTAATTAATAAGCTTGTTTAGGCTTCTCAATGACACCAATCACTGGAGTAATTAGAATGTACAGTGGGGATGTATATTTGCATATGTAGCTGCCCTTGAAGACAGGAGTTTCATTGCTTCACTTATGCTAGCATCCAGCTAGGTTTCTTTAGAAAATTTAATTATATTTTCTTGTAGGTTCTTCTGGCTTCCCAGGACTAAAGGGAAGAAAAGGATTTCTTGGAGCAAAAGGCGAACAAGGTGATAAAGGTTTTCCTGGACCATCTGAGACCTTGGTTAATATTGGGAATAAAGGAGAACGAGGTTTAAAAGGTACACATTCATTGATCTGTAATTCAAAACTAATTAGGGTTGTCACCTATGTTACAGTTCCATTAGGTTCTGAATGACTTCTTTGCCTCGGTCCTCACTGGCAAAAGCTCTGACCACACCACCCAAGTCTTGGAAGGCAGATGCAGGGACTGTGAGAATGAAGACCTTGGGCCCACTGTAGGAGAGGATCTGGTTCGAGACCATCTTAAAAACCTGAACGTGCACAAGTCCATGGGTCCTGATGAAATCCATCCACGCATCCTGAAGGAGCTGGTGAATGAAGTTGGGAAGCCGCTGGCCATCATATTTGAAAAATCATAGCAGTCAAGTGAAGTTCCCGATGACTGGAAAAAGGGAAATATAACCCCCATTTTCAAGAAGGGGAAAATGGATGACCCGGGGAATTACAGACCAGTCAGTCTCACCTCTGTGCCTGGCAAAATCTTGGAGCAGATTCTCCTGGAAGGCATGCTAAGGCACATGAAAATCAACAAGGTGCTTGGTGACAGCCAGCATGGCTTCACTAAGGGGAAATCCTGCCTGACCAATTTGGTGGCCTTCTATGATGGGGCCATAAACCTGATGGACAGGGGTAGATCAGTTGATGTCATCTACCTGGACTTGCACAAAGCATTCGACACTGTCCTGCATGACAACCTTGTCTCTAAATTGGAGAGACATCAATTTGATGGATGGACCACTCGGTGGATAAAGAACTGGCTGGATGGCCACACACAAAGAGTTGTGGTCAATGGCTCAATGTGCAGCTGGAGAACAGTAACGAGTGGTGTCCCTCAGGGATCAGTGTTGGGACTGGTCTTGTTTAACATCTTCGTCACTGACACGGACAGTGGGATTGAGTGCGCCCTCAGCAAGTTTGCTGATGACACCAAGCTGTGTGGTTTGGTTGATACGCTGTAGGGAAGGAATGCCATCCAGAGGGACCTTGACATGCTTGTGAGGTGGGCTGATGCCAACCTCATGAATTTTAACCATGAGAAGTGCAAGGTCCTATATCTGGGTCGGAGCAATCCCAGGCACAGCTACAGGTTTAGTGGGAGGTGATCCCTGCCTGTGGCAGGTCCTTAAGGTCCTTTCCAAGCCTAACCATTCTGATTCTATGATTCTATGAACTCTATAACATGGAAGAAACTGACTGTACTGCTGAGAGTATTCGCCTGGCTTTGAAATTAGTATTACTGAACACTGTAACTGCCTTTTTATTTATGGGATAGTTCAATAATACACTGAATATATATTTTCACTTCAACAAATCCATATTCCTTGAAAACCTACTATTGTAATGTTAAACCAGTAATAATATGTCAGTAGTACTAGAAGGCTTATATACATACACTATGCATTCAAGTGTTTATACATTTAGTAGCCCATGAGCACAGAAATGGGTGTGCTTACCAACTAGATGCTGGATTTCAAAGAAGTTGAGTATGCTCAGAAATACTTAATTGCCAGAAGAATATTTTTTACAATATTGCAAAATATTGTCTGCAATACTAATATATATTGTCTATGAGTTGTACATGCTAAACTAATGTTGTCTGGTCTTTTGTGTACACATTTTCTTATGTAACCTTTCAGAAAACTTCCTTTTGTCTCCATATGAAAAATACAGAGGCATTAACTGTGAGCTTGTTTCTTGCTTATGTGTATTCACAGAGTGAAAATCCTATGCTCCACCTAATTAGCTCTAAGAGTTATACTTTAAATTTTATAAATTTTATAAATTTTATAAAACTTTGTAGTCTAAGATGTTATGTAGTATTTTTTAAAATGAAACTTTGTTTTAGGAGTTCATGGAAGAATGGGTCTAAAAGGAGAAAAAGGAGATGCTGGTGTGCAGGGTCCCCCAGGTCTTGATGGATCTGAAGGAATACCTGGTCTACCAGGTATGGAATATGTATATTGAAAATTAACAATATCACATGGACAGTAAAGATAATATTACCTCAGTGCTTAGAACTTAACTCGGCTCCAGCAGCAGCACTACATTCTCTGTATTAACTTTGAAACTTTTCTGAGAATTCTAAACCAGCAATTTCAAAAGCTGCTATTCGAAAGTCATAGCAGCTACCACCAAATAATTCTTTGTTTTGTTCCAAATATAGACCATTTTTGGGGATGAGAAATAGAAAACAGTATTAAATCCTGAATAATGAAGACTTCAAACTCTAAAAGCTGATAAGACCAGTGAATAAAAATTGGTATTTATAAAAGTGAAGTTGAACTGCCCAATATTGCAAAGAAAAGTAAGAATTCTAAAATAGGAATATTACAGTTACAAAAATATTTTAGAAGCTTTTTTTTTTTTTTAATTTTGAGTGGATTTTATTTCCATTTTCAAAGCCTGGATGTTGGGCTTATATTTTGAAAGTTACCAGAACTTTATTTTGAACATCACCAGATGTTCAGTGAAAGGCAGGTTTAAAAAGTACCTGCATAAATTATAAAACTACCTAAGTTATGACTAAGGTTTTCTCTGCCATTCCCATAACCGCACACATAATGATACATGTTGGTCCTTGAGAGACAGTGCATCTCTCAAATTAATGCTAATAAAACATTTTTATTTCTCTGTATTCTGTATTTTTGATTCTTTGAGATAACCTATTCCTCGAAAATCATATTATACTATAATACATAAAAATAGTAACAGGAGTAATTTAAACTTGTAATCTAAATGGCTCTTTTCACAATTGCAATTATCCATGCTATACAACCTTATAACATTACTGCTATACTCTGTCATTAATATCCTTTGCAGTGATTGCAATGTAGCCAGCACAGGAAAAATGCTCCACTAGTCCCTAACTTTTAATGGAATAATGAATAACACCTTACCTGCCTAAATGTTCAAGCATGGCTATTACGCTGGAATTTATACATCTGGACATTCCAAATGCAACTAGATCTTGCAGTCATTAAACTGAAAGCTAATTTAGCTAAATTAAGCTAAAGATAAGTGAGTGGGGGGAAAGGTGCCTAAGCCATATAAGAAAAAGCTCATGAATATACTAGTCATGAGACGTGCATAATGAGTAATGTGATTCATAATATAATAATGTGCTTCTGACATGCGCAGGAACCAGACTGAACCCAGGGGTTCAATGAAAGGAGGGTCCACTCTGTAAATACAAGTTCATGATCTTGATTAAAATTTGCAAAAGTATGTTTTTGTTGCTGCCCCTAAGTGCTGTGGTCACAAACCTTAATTTTAGTGTCGATACATAAGATGCTTGTTATTTCCTTGACTTTTTGACAACAATAATGATAATTTTATCTGTGTCAGGGGGCAAGAGGCTGCATGTTGATTTATGAAATAATATCACAAGGCGTGCAGTACAGGATTCTGTATTCATGAAAGCTCTGCCAGCCAGCCACTGTCTGAAGCAAACGTGTAGATGACACTTTTTTCTTCATCTTGCAGGTGTCAAAGGATTTATGGGTCTTCCAGGGGTTACTGGAGAACCAGGAATCCCAGGTGGACCAGGAAACAAAGGGGACATGGGATTTCCAGGTCATTTTCTGTCAAGCCCTATTGCAAATTCATAGAGCTGTATAGAAGCATTTGCAAAGATCTGAGCAGTTACTGTAAAAGCACTACACAACCTTGGGGTTTATTCTTTGCAGTACCTATAATCTTACCACCCCAGCATTTGCTTGACTTGCAGAGTGCACCTGCCCCTCTCTGTAAATGAAATATAACTACCTTAATGTATATATTATTACATGTAAGAACCTCTTTTAAATGTGTTTAGAAATAAAATCCCTGGCTATGTAAATTACTTTAATGAAGAATTAATATTTGAATATATAAGCAGTAGTTCACTAAACACAAGATGAGGTATGCAGTTATGATCCTTTTAAGAATGGTATCAGTATCTATTTTTCCAGGTGCAAAAGGACAGAAAGGATCTCCAGGCTTTCCAGGACCATCAGGAGACCCTGGTCCACCAGGCTGTGATGGCTTTACAGGTGACAAAGGAGATCCTGGGTACCCATCTGCTGGGCCTCCAGGAGAACCTGGTCCAAAGGTATAAAGGCAATGGAAATACTGTCATATTAGGCAATAAGCAGAGTCTTTGACTATAGCAACACAAGAACATGTAAGCAAGAGCTGCAGAACTTGCAGAAGTAGATGATTTGTTAGTGATAAGAAATATGAAAATTCTATTGTGTCATTACTTGTGAGAAATTTTTTGAGTTTGTTATATTTCATTTTTTTCTTGGTGCAAGAATTTCATGTTTGCAAGGCGGTCCATGTTTACAAATAACTTTGCTTACGTAAAAGCTGCTAATCCAGCAAGAACAAGGACTTGCACTTAAACGGTCAGCAGTAGGAATACTTGTACATTAAAAAGTATAAAAAAACATAATCTTAGCAAATACAAAAGTTTTGTAATCTAAAATTGTACTATTGGGTTTTGACAGACTAGTAATATCATTACTAAGATGAATTGGTTTTTTTCTTCTTACCAATATATATTGCTAAGAAATAAACAATATTTTTTAGGTCAACTGATTACAGTTTTACTCCACATATTCTGGTTAACAACTAGGAGTCATTTTACATATGAATTTATCTAAAGTACATTGCTGAGGTTGTAAACTAAACTATAACTCCTGTAATCTGTCTAAATTAGCTGTTTATTTTCTGTATTAACTGGGTAGGACAATGTTACTGTCATGAAAATCAGTAGGAATTAAGGAAAAATATGCAATTCAGTATTTTGTATAGCTGCATATCATATAAGGAATGCATATTTGGATCAAAGAGGAGCTGTTAAAATAAAATTGAAGGGAAGTCTGTGTGCCAGCGAAAACATCTCAAGACTGAAGCTGGTTTGTACAGGTTAAAGATCTTCTAGCTATGTTTAAAAGATCAGTGGTATTATGACAAGACTTCATGTTAGTCTACTTTGATTTTTGTCTGAAAATCATAGTGAACTATGATTACACATAGTTAACCTGTAAAATTACATGTGATTTTTTCTATTGTTCAAATATGGAATCTAATGTATTTAATGTAATATGATTCTTCACCTGTTTGTGTGCAACTGCTATTTCCCAGGGAAATCCAGGGCCCCCAGGAGTTTTGGGCAGCAAAGGGGAAAAAGGATCCCAAGGTCATCCAGGACATAAAGGAATACCAGGACCACATGGGACCAGAGGGGAAACTGGAGGTGCAGGAATCCCAGGTATGTTTTGTTTTGGCGGGCTGGTGAGATGTTAACATACCTTTAAAAGAAGATAATTTGTCAGTAAGCTACACAAAGTGCCTATGCTTTGGCATATTTATATTCAACTGCTATAAACTTTAAGAGCTCCTTTGTAGTCAGTGCAGCCATACTGCCTTACATCAGCTAGAGATCTTTTGCAGCAGTCTGAAGCATAAATGATAGCAAAATTCTCAGACTGAATCTGGATCTAGTGATAATGCCTTTTTCTCCTCTCCCACACTCTTCCTACAGGAAAGCTTGGCCCTCCTGGAAATACTGGTGTTAAAGGACAGCAGGGCCGCCCAGGCCAACAGGGTATTAGAGGCCCTCCAGGTATGGTGTAGTGCATCTCTCCCAGATCACTGCCCCTGTTTTTTTTATTTTCTTTGGAACGAGGCAGTTGATGTTCTTTTGAGCTTTTTAGAATGTAACTGATGCAGTTGCAGTCTCTGTTTATGTTAGTTCAAGGCTTTGTTTACCTTCTCTGGTTGCAGTGAAGGTCTTCAGCAGACAGTTTTCAATGTTACGAGTTCAGCTGAGGCAACAGGTTTTAATTTTATTTCACTACTATAAACTTCACCTTCTTTTCTACTTATTTATTTTTTTTAATCAGGTGGTCTCAAGATGTGATCTCCACACAATTGTAAGGAAGGAACGTTAAAATAAGATGTAGCTAGATGAGGAGAACAAAATGAAATGGAAGGAGGGGACAGAGTTATAGTTGCTTGTTAAAGCAACAGAAAAGTTTAAACTATTCAAAATGTACCTAAAGGGGAGTGTGTAAAATGCAACAGTTATGCACTGCAGATTTTAATAAAGTGAGCGCCAGTCATTGTCTTCAAAAAGAACATTGGATGCTCTTACATTTGGAGATCTGAATCAGAATTACAATATTGTGGTTTTGTAGCCTTCAGTGAACTTGCACTGACTTACCAACAGAGTTAGCAAAGATCAGAATCTACTCCCTGTTTAGAAAAACTTGAATTTGTAATAAAGCCTGGGAGAGAAACCACACTGCCTCTACGGATTCCAGTTAGGGTGGGTTAAGTCAAAGGAAGAGTCCTAAAATGTCTTTGAAAGACAAAGCCATTGCCTGTGAAAATAGCGGGGGTATTAAATCCATTTAAGTCTAGTGAGTTCAATAAAAATTATGTGCTACTCTTTACAAATGTTTAAATACCAACACAGTTATATCTATCTGAAGTAGCTGAACTAACTAAATCTTAATAAAGGGGACTCATATCTTCTCCCTTTGAAATGCAAAATAATAGTAGTGAAAATGATATTGTGGTCCATTGTAATTCACAGGTGCCATTGGAGAGCCTGGAAAAAATGGACCTGTAGGTGAAAGAGGTAATCAAGGTCAGGATGGTATGCCTGGTCCCCCAGGAGTAAAGGGAGAACCAGGTAACACCAGTGAAATACTTTCATTCTGGTTTACAGTTGTTTTTTTCCCTAGTTAAACTGACATGAATTAATTGAGAAGGATTAATATGGAGCTTCTGTGGAGCCACAGATAAGTTTATAAGTAGAAGGGTTTTCACTTTCACATAATTCACAGGTTTTTTCCTAGGAACTTTTATATGCTGTCAACAACCCAAATGCATATGTCACTGCTCTATTATGCGATTTGTCATAACGTCACCTAATAATGTTAATGTCTGCAAGAGCCAAAGTATTGCTGTTAATAGTACTTACATGTTTAATCTGAAAGAAAAGAACCAAAATGCTTTTAAAGGAGTCTCCTCTCTTACATGGAAATAACATAAAAGGCATCACAGTGTTTACTTGCATGAATGGTGAAGGTTTCCATGACCTAGCCTTTGGATTGTAAACCCTTTCATTCCGTCATTTAAATGTCACTCCTGATGTCATCAATGTCTACAGATAGATTTAGTCCTCCACTGAATCCCGACAGAAAGTGTTTTCATATTTTACAGTGATAATAATTCCATATTAGTATAAAGAGGGTACTGAGGAGGCAGGCATAGTACACAGTATGTGTGAAGTAATCACTGTTAACGTATTTTCTTTTTTTTAGTATTTACATTTCTTCTATTTTTCTTAGTAACTAACTCAAATGCAGATTTTTCTTCTTTTTTTTCCTCTGAAAATAGACAAAACTTATTATTGCAGAATGTACTTCAAATGTGATTGACTGAAGAGTTTCTACTATGAAGAAAAACAAATTTAATTTCTATTTCTGTATAGAAGAAATGGAAATAATAATTTAAATTATATTTTATCTATAACTAAAATCTACATCTTGATGCAGTGAATTCTGAAGAAATGTGTAAAATATTAGATAACGATGATGTTTTCTAACAATTATTCAGGACTTTGAGCATAATGTGACCTAATATTTTATAGGAGCACCAGGGAGAGGAATCCCTGGCCTTCGAGGTATTCCTGGTCGGAGAGGTAAGTTATCTTTGCAGAAAGCAAAATCTTAATTTTTACATACCAGAATCATCATCATCATCATCATCTTTAAGCTACCTCCTGCTTTTGGATGCTTGGAATGGCACTAAGAGTGTCAGAGAAAACAAAGAGTAATTCTGTGCTTCTGATCAATGATTGGGTGTTATATTTGGTTATATTTGGTGTTATATATAAAAGTTAAGACTATTATAAAAGGGAAATGAAGAAGCAAACTTCTATGGTTTTGTGAATGTAAAACATTCTAGAGCTTTTGAAATTTTATTTTGAAATATAATTTGATTAACAGAGGATGTCCTAATGAAAACAGATGATGCTGCTGAATGTTAAGCATACTATAAGAAAGCTGCATCAACTGCAATTTAAATTTGTTCATCTTGCTTTTTATATTGATGAAAGTTGAGGGGACTCTTCCCATTTTTTAGGTTTTGCATATATTTCTAGTACTAGTTGAATTGCAGTGATTTGCTTTACTTAAAAAAGAATAAATCTTCATATCCTCCATATATAGATTTTGCACTTGAAGATCAGCCTTACAAAAATATCCTTTTAAGGTAGTCTCTTATTTTGTGGTACTCACATTGATGCTTTTAATTGAAGTGTAGTTTAAAAGGATTTGCCAGTTCTGATGTTCAAAGAAGCATTTCTTCTACTTATACATCAAGAAATATTCCCTGCTGTGGTCTTTTTACCTTCCTCCCAAGTTTATTCTCTTGTATGAGCAATTTCTGAAATGGAGGGGTTTTTTTTGAGAAAAAAGAGTGGTGTGTACTATCTTGCTGTGAGTCCTGTCTTCTCACAACCATTTTGCCTTACAGTAGCAAGGTGGCTTTGAGGACTTCTCCATATTAAAACCAAAGGCTGAATTCCCACCTTTGCAGTACAGTAAATATTGTATGTTGTCAGATCATCTTGACACCTCTCACCAAATGTAATACTTACTCTTTGCAGGAATCAAAGGGGACATGGGACTGCCTGGTTTTCCTGGGCCACCAGGTATGAAAGGTCATCAGGGTGACCAAGGACCTGTTGGACCACCTGGCTTAGTGGGGTTACCTGGATTTCAAGGCTCAACAGGCATGGCAATTACCGGTCAGAAAGGGAACAGAGGTATTGCTGGTGCAAATGGAAGACCAGGTGTGTTGTTATAACCCCTTATTTATCTGAGATGATATACTGATAATTGCAAGTAGAATTCAGCCTGTCCAGAACTTAAGGTGGAAGGGGGTCTTTCCTCGAGAGAAATTCATAATTAAATATGCAGTTTCTTTACCAATTAACGTAGTGTTATCATTGGAAACACCATGATGGTCTATGCAGTGTGATGTAAATGAAAATAACACCAAGCTTTGCAGTCCACTCGATTTTCATTATTTTGCTTTCTGTCCATGTAGTCTGTAGGGCAGCTGAGATCCAAAAAGTGAATATGGCACTTAGTGGTAGACTTGGCAGTGTTAGGTTTATGGCTGGACACGATAATCTTAAAGGTCTCTTGCAACCTAAATGACTCTGTGATTCAATGATTACAGGCATAACTACAACTGCAGGTTACTCCAAAAGCGGTACTGCTATAGAGTACTGCAAGAACTCAGCTCTGATTTCAGATTAAATTAGCAGGCTGGGAAAAATGAGTGGCCTTTTTTTGTTTTTTTTTTCTTAATGGGTATATTCCCTTGGTAATCACTGAGGTGGTAAACATGAGTGCCATTATACAGTTGTTGAGTGTTGTACTGCATTGTATGTAATGTATGTGAAATGCTGTTGCTGTTGGCAGTAGTCTTTACTTACTCTGATGTTTCTGTACAGGTGCTCCTGGTTTTCCAGGGCCTCCTGGTCTTTCTACTCTCAGCATGAAAGGAAGCAAAGGAGTTAGAGGCGCAGATGGCATACCAGGGCCAACAGGCCCAGCTGGTGACATTGGTCCTCCAGGTCCAAAAGTCAGTGAAAGGAATATTGCTTATTTCTTAGTCCATTGTTAATTTGTTCTTACCATGAAAATAACACCCAGGGCAATCTAAAATAAACACCACCAAACAAACAATAAACCAAAACAAACAAAAAAAAACCCCTCATCCTCCCCCAAACCCTTTGTGATAGCTGAAAGATATTAAAATGGTTATGAAAAGTAGTTTATATGGAGTTAAGCGGACCAGAAGGAAATTATCATGAATTTCTGGCATGATATTTCCCTAGCCATTCTGTATTACAGAGTAATATTAACAATTAAATTATTATTTATAACATGCTCACAAATGAAGCAGATAATTCTAGTTGTAGCATATTCTGTGAACATAATACTTTGAATATTCTGAACAAAACATATATCATAGCCTGCAGAGTCTGCTTCTTGTTTATTATTGGCGTTATCTGATTTTCAGGGAATAGAAGGTCGATCAGGTTATCCTGGCGCTAGAGGGGCCCCAGGATTCCTTGGATTCCCAGGTGTAAAAGGTATATGCATACTCTCTACATACACTTCTGAGTCCTAAAAAAAAATTGTTTACATGTTGTGTTATAATAGTATTTGTGTTACAGTACCTCATCCTAGAGTTTGCTGCATCAACAGCAGGGTATAGGTCAGCTATAAGAGAAAGCGTTCACTATGAGAGCATTTTTTTTTGTGTTAGATGCTATGGGTATATCCAAACTGATGTTAAGTGAGAAAGGGCTGAAACTGCAATAGCCTCCATTCCAGGCAAAGTCAAAACAAGTTTGTCCTTAGTGACTAGTAATGTATAAGGACTTTGGGACTGACTCTGCTAATTAGAAATGCCATACCTCTGCTAGATGCTTTTGGCAACCTCCTAGCTATAGAACTCAAGAGCATTTAATCATAATTAGAACACAGAGCACTGGGTCCTCTGTTTGCCATAAGAATAGTCCCAATTACAATTTAATTTACCAGTTTATCAGGAAATGAACTGTTAAATGTATTGGCTTCATTAATTCCGTATTCCTGACATTTGGATCAGTAGGTGGCTAAAATTCCTTTTAATTTAGTTTTTTTCCAGTGATTTAAATCTAATACAGGTCTACATCGCTCCAGTATTCTCATTTTTCAATTGCACGATTTACAGAGACAAAGAATTGTCATTACCTGCTTAGCCTACTGCTTTGTGCTCAATGTTAATTATTGTGTATTTTAAATTTGTTGTAATCTGAGAAGTCACCGTACAGACAGTAATTATGCTTTTCTTAAGCAAAAAGTTCTAATTTAATGTCATAGTCAGTCAAAATGCTTGATGACAGAAATAGTGATCTGAAAAAATCTGAATGTAACCTCATGTTTTGCACAACGAAAAGAAATGCTTATTAAGCTTCCAACACTTGCAAAACTATATGACCCTCCTAACAGCCATCAGCATAACTGACAGTAGGACTTAAAAGAAGTTGAACTGCACAGCATCACTGAAGGCAACACTTGACCTGCAAACTCAGTGACAAAAACACCTAAGATAAAAGGGGCATAGTCTAAAGTTGAGATTTTAAGTCAGGTTTGTGGAACCAGCCATTATATAGACTAGGAAACATCTTATAAACTGAGTGCACTTGGACTATAAATTCTACAGTAATGACAGAGATGTAGAAGTCCACTTCCGCATTTCAAATGAGTCTACAGGCTGTGTTACTCTTTGGGAAGTTTGAATGGATCATGCAGGACTCCTTAATAAGAGTCTGAAACTTCGGCAGTGATTTCGACATCTTAAATGAACAGACATATCTTCAATCTTCCTTTTTAGGAGAAAAGGGTAATCGGGGACCCCCTGGACCACAAGGTGCAGAAGGGCCAAGGGGACCAAAGGGCCAGCATGGTAACCAATCATTCTCATTCTAATACCAGCTGACTTAGGTTGATTTGTTTTGTAGATTGTTTGCTTTCTTTTAATACAAAGCAAAGCTCTTCATTATGTTTTTGTTGCTAGGTTCACCTGGAGTCCCTGGGAAAATATTCTCCATCCCAGGAAGCAAGGGTCCTCCTGGACTGCCAGGAATACCAGGAACACTAGGTGACCAAGGAATTCAAGGGATTCCTGGACTTCCAGGTGGTTTATACTTTTATCTCTGTACACATTTGTGCTGCTTAGTGGAACAGTTTGGGTTGGTGGGAAAACACGCTTCTGCATAGGAAACGGATGCATCTTTAAAAATACCTCTCCATATTTAAAAACAGCTTTGTACCTTGTTAACAACCTTGTATTTATAATCTGTCCTTTCCATCTGCCCTCCAACCTCGCAGTCAGCGAGTAAGTTTCTCCCTCAACATGAGCCTAAGCAAAGTAATGGAATAAAAAGTAAACTTGGATCAAAACTTTCACCATTTTAATACAACCAGAAACATGCTCAGGATGCCATTATGCACGGGGAAATTACCATGCATAATAGAAGTACTCTAGATGTGCTACAAAGTTATTGTGTCCACCATACTCTGGGGATGGGAAAAGGGAAAGCAGAAGCTGGCTACTTCTTCACTGGCACTGGAAGTGAAGCCTGCCATGGATGTGAGGAATGGGAAAGCAAAGTGAAGGTAGGATGAGGGGAATATGCAGTGGGTGCCTGGCCACCACAGCTTTCCACCACAGGAAAGGAACTCCTCCAGGAAGCAGGCTTACCAGAAGGCATGCCCCAATCCAGAATGACAGTTGCCTCTAGCATAACAAAGCAGGCACTAAAGAATTGCTCTTTTATACTTGCCTTAAAATTGTTTTACAGAGAAGCTGCAATGTTTATAGAATCACAAACCATGGTCCATATAATATGAACCTATTGGAGTGAGTCGAGAGGAGGGCCACAAAGATAAGAGGGCTGGAGAACCTCTCCTATGAAGGAAGACTGAGAGAGTTGGGCTTGATCAGCCAGGAGAGGAGGAGGCTCTGGGGAGACCTTATAGCATCCTTCCAGTACCTAAAGAAAGCTGGAAAGGGACTTTGCACAAGTTCAGTATAGGGACAGGACAACAGGTAATGGTTTTAAATTGAAAGAGGGTAAATTAAGATAGAAGTTCTTTACTGTGAGGATGGTGAGGCACTGTAACAGGCTGTCCAGAGAAGCCGTGGCTGCCAAATCCCTGGCAATGTTCAAGGCCAGGCTGGACTCAGCTTTGTACAACCTGGTCTAGTGGAATTGCCCATGGCAGGGGGAGTGAACCTGGGTGACCTTTAAGGTCTCTTCCAACTCTTAACCATTCTATGAGTCTATGATTCTACAATTATGGCCTGTTACTGTATCGTTTAAATACCTATATTGCATGACACATGCTAAAAGAAAAAGCTGTTTGCTTTGGTTTCTGAAAACATTTCTTATGAGAATACTATTTTTCTGAAATACAGTCAATATTTCCTTGTAATCTTTCTGATAGAAAATATAGTGACAGTAATGCTACAGTCTCAAAACTTAGCAAATTCATGCTGTTTTTATTCTAACACAGCTACATTTACATGAGGATTTTAACTTTATTCATTAACAGTTATTACAATCTAGAATATCTAAGGCTATATGATCCTGTTTTTTTTCTTGATTACAATTAGGACCTAAAGGAGTAAAAGGTCTACCAGGAAGATTTGGTCATCCAGGTCAACCAGGACTGCCTGGTCCAAAAGGAGACAGGGGATTTCCAGGAGAAAGAGGTACAGGAAGGCAGACATCTGTGTTTGACTGCTGCTCCTGAATTTACAGATAAACTGTATTCCTGATTTCTGTAAATCCTTTCTTTTTGATGTATTGAGATTCTGTAACATTTACAGTCACTTTAGGGCCACAAGCACATGCAAGCACATTCTTAGCTTTTAACAGACGCATGTCCACAACTGGAATAGTAATTTAAAAAAATATGCTTTAACTGTGCTCCTCTCTAATTAATCATATTTATTTATCCATCTGAAATCCCTAGGTGTCAGTGTGCCTTTTATTGACATCAAAATACAATTAAATATTTAGTCACCATAAAATGTTTATACAATTTTTTTTTCTAAAAATGGCCATGGTTCTTTAAAATATGTTGCTATTTGATGAAGCTATGCAATGTAAAGCTACCCGAACTAGGTCTGACAGAGTTAATACATCTAGCAATAAATATGACCAATTTACAAGTTGTGTCTTCTTACTGATAATTTTTTGTTAGTTTTCAAGTAGTTCCAATAATTCAAATGAACTAAAATTTCAAATAAAATTATAATATTTGTAGTCTTATTTCTTTCCCCTTCACAGGACAGCCTGGACTGGTTGGCTTTCCAGGTCTACAGGGGTTACCTGGATCACCAGGTACTATCATTGCTGGTCCAACAAGAAGAGGTTTTATCTTTACCCGGCATAGTCAATCAACAAGGATTCCTTCATGCCCACATGGGACATCGCAGCTCTATGTTGGTTATTCACTGCTTTTTGTACAAGGAAATGAACGAGCACACGGACAAGATCTTGGTACTGTATTGGTAAAAAGTTTCAGATCATGTTCTTTAGAGTCCCATCATGCTAAGTTGTCATGCAACCAAACTCACACTAAGTGTCCGAGTTGCACACTGGTTTCAACCATCAGTCTCCAGAGTGGTCCGCTGCTCTGAGTCAATTCAGGGATCATGGCTTGAAATACAACATTCTTTCCTGCACTCCTATATTCCCTTTTTGCTGTCCCTAGATATTTCTGAGGAGGAATTCAGTTACTTATGGACAGATGTCTAGTATAAATGTTCACAACATCTGCACGGGTCTGACAGTAATCACACGAGGTCTCAGAGAGAATCTTGCCTTTTTGGAGACCAAATGGGATGCTTTAGGGTGTCAAAAACAGCACCAGAAGCTTTTGTTTAAGCAGCCGAATCCCTGTTACTGCATCAAGGACCAATACTGTTCAAGAATATATTATTGTTTTAACATATTTTGTTCTTAGCCTTTATTTTTTATATATACCATAAACATTTTGCTTTCAGATAATTCCACTATACAGACACTTCTCTCTTTATAGTTACCAACAGTTTTATTTCTCACTGTAGACTGTATACCATCACATGTGTCTTCTGTTCGCTGCACTAAATGTAATATCCTACCTGTCACAAAACACTCCTCTTTTGTCTTTCAGGAACAGCTGGTAGCTGCTTGCAGAGATTTACCACCATGCCATTCTTATTCTGTAACACCAATGATGTTTGCAGTTTTGCTTCTCGCAATGACTACTCATACTGGCTCTCAACTGCAACAGTAATGCCAGTAGACATGGCACCAATTTCTGGCAGGGCACTAGAGCCCCATATAAGCAGGTAAGAGTGGAAGAATTTTAGCTGTTCTGGCTTGTAACCACAGAGACATCATAAACTGTTCTGAATGGCAAATCTTAGGCAAGCCTGCCCATCTCAGCCAATACAAGCGCTGTTTTTAACCACTTGATTTTTGATTACTCACCTGATTATGTCACGCATTCAGTGGTACTCTAAGAAAGGTTAGATTAAAGTAAAGCTAGGGTCTGCCACAGGGATTAATATGCATAGCTGACTTGAGAAGATGGCACACAAGCCTACTGATAGTGATGATTTTTGTCAAAATCTATTGTTGTAATTGGAGGAAGACTAAAATGAAATAAAGACAGTTTCATTATTTAGAATGCAGTATGAATCATGTTCTGCCTTCAGTTATGTGTCATGTTTACTGTAATTGGTGAAGAGCATTGTAAATTGGGGCTGAAGGTTCTCTGAAATGAAATACCCTTGTGCAAATGTGTCTCTTTTTAGTTGCTTTAGAACAGCTAAGAAGGATGAAGAGCATCTCAAGAGGAAAAGCTCTAAAAGCATGAAAGACCAAGTGTACCAAAATCAAACATGGGAAGGCAAGCTTTGGACTCTGTCTTCTAGCCTGCCCTACCCAGTTGTTGCAATCTAGTAGTTTTTCTAGGAAATAAAGATTATTTTTTCTGATCTTAGCAAACAAAGGTACAGAACTTTGATCTAAACTGTAGTAACCTATAGTAGTGAGCACAAGAAGAAGGTAAATTTAGCTTGTTACTTCAGTAAAGGCAAAATCGGGAAGCTCAAATGTTGTGGGACTAATTCCCATTTTCTACAAGTTTTTGTCTGGTGTTAATAGTAGAGACTGTAAAGCAATTGCAAAGCACAGTATTTGGATTGCCTTCAATTTACTTATCTGTTTACTGAACAGGAAAATCTGTGAGTTGCAACATTTATACTAAGCCCTGCCATTAGGTAGCTACTATCCTAGAAGATACAATTTTTGTCTGCTTTCATGTCTTCCCTCATATCTGCACTGAATGCATGTGCCTTTCTTCTTGCAGGTGTGTTGTCTGTGAAGGAGCTGCAATGGTAATAGCAGTTCACAGCCAAACAACTGTAGTTCCTGCATGTCCAGAAGGCTGGGTATCTCTCTGGAAGGGTTTTTCTTTTGTTATGGTAAGGATAGAAAAACTTGAATTATTAATTTTACCTCATCTTGCTTTCATTGCCATTTTCATCTTCTCACACCTCATTTGCTTCTTAATAATTGGTTGGTTGGATTTTTTTTTCCTTTGCCAAGTAGAGAATCATTTTATTAGCTCTTATTCAGTGCCAGAAACATATGAAAATCTATTCTAATCTGACCTCGAAAATAGGTGGCAGGAGAAAAAAGGGAAAAAGATGAAAAGAGAACCACAGGATTTTAGTCTAACAAAAGTAACTGCATGGTCATGCTGAAATCTAAGAAAGGGGTTAAGGAAGTGGAGTGGTCAAACTCGTCCTAAACACAAATACACAGAAATAACTGACACATTTCCATGCCAGGCCATTCTTTTATAAATCATATCTTGGGGATGAACTCCACAGAAAGCTAAAATGAAAACAAATACAGAATGCTGTTTTGAAAAACCACCTCAGCAATTTTGGTGCCACAACAAGATACAAGTGAAGAAAGTTCATAATGTGACTGCAAACTGAGAACTCATTATGGGAATAAGGGTGTATCTATAGTAGGGAATGTAGCACTTCATCTTTGTTATCCATGCCTGCCAGCAAATGAGAGTAAAAGAGAGAATTAAACCCTCCTGCTTTCTGCTTTAAAGTCCTTTCAGGTCTAGTGTGAAAAGTGTTGTCTCTCCTGGGATTTGGCCCTAAGTAGTAATAATAGTAAACTTCGAAAAAAATGAGAGAATTTTTACAGCATCTGGTTAAAATAATTTGCTTCTTTCCAGTATCAGCAAACCTAAATGTTATTTTCTAGCCAATTTTCTACTGTTGTAAATTATTTTAGAGCTATTTCTACAAGCATTGACCAACATCAAAGAGCAGCCCTGAGGAGAAGGCCTTGGGGGTGTTGGTCAATGAGAAACTTAACATGAGCCAGCAGTGTGCGCTTGCAGCCCAGAAAGCCAACCATATCCTGGGCTGCATCAAAAGGAGCATGACTAGCAGAGCATGATCCCTCTACTCTGTTCTCGTGAGACCTCACCTGGAGTATTGTGTGCAGTTCTGGTACCCTCAACATAAAAAGGACATGGAACTGTTGGAACAAGTCCAGAGGAGGGCCACGAGGATGATCAGGGGACTGGAGCACCTCCCATATGAAGACAGGCTGAGGAAGTTGGGGCTGTTCAGCCTGGAGAAGAGAAAGCTGTGTGGAGACCTCATAGCAGCCTTCCAGTATCTGAAGGGGGCCTATAGGGATGCTGGGGAGGGACTCTTCATTAGGGACTGTAGTGACAGGACAAGGGGTAACAGGTCAAAATTTACACAGGGGAAGTTTAGACTGGATATAAGGAAGAAGTTCTTTACTGTAAGCATGGTGAGGCACTGGAATTGTGTTGCCCAGGCAAGTTGTGAATGCTCCATCCCTGGCAGTATTCAGGGCCAGGCTGGACAGAGCCTTGGGTGATATGATTTAGTGGGAGGTGTCCCTGCCCATGGCACAGGGGGTTGGAACTAGACAATTTTAAGGTCCTTTCCAACCCTAACTATTCTATGATTCTGTGATCAAAGAAGGAAAATGCCGTCTTTGCTTTTAGGGTTTGGAGAAGTAATCAATGCAACCAAAAAGGTGAACACACTCAAAACAGGGCATTTGGCTTACTTTAGTACTCAAGTGGACAGAAGCCAGATAAATTCTAGTCTTTGTACTGGTTAGTATCATGCCTTTTCACGGAGCAGAGAAAGGTCTTTGCAGGCACTTAGGAAATGCCATAACTGCTTGAATTTTCATAAAGCTTCTGTGCTTCATTATAAGTTTAATAAAATTAATCTGTGTTCATTTTGTTTTGTCCAAGATATACCGCAGAACATATGGTATGTTTTAGAAAGAGATTTTTTTTTTTACCTGCAGTTTACTAAAATCTGACAGACCAGATCTCATAAAAAATGTGTTGGTGGTTACAGTACACAAGTGCCGGCTCAGAAGCTTCTGGCCAAGCATTGGCATCTCCTGGATCTTGTTTGGAAGAATTTAGAGCCATTCCATTCATAGAGTGCCATGGCAGGGGGACGTGCAACTACTATACAAATTCCTACAGTTTCTGGTTGGCATCGTTAAATCCAAGAAGAATGTTCAGGTAAACTGTATTTTGCTGCATCCACATGCATCGCATCCATGCTGCAAGTGTCCAAGGAGATAATAACTGTCTGCAAAACATGTAGGGGTTCCGCTACTAATTTCCCTCAGTTTAGACATCCCTCTTTGTCAGGTTCTGAGTCATTCTGTAACACGAAGATGCGTTAAGTGAGGCAAGGATTTCAGTGTTGTCAAGAATTCTCTATCCCACGTTTCATCATCTCTCCTTATTTGGTTTTTTGTTTGTTGGTGTTTTGGTGTTCGGTTGCTTTTTGATTGTTCACTTGGGGTTGTTTTTTTTTTTTTAAGTAAATGTTTCTTTTCTTTAATTTAGGAAACCTCTGCCACAGACTTTGAAAGCAGGAGAACTAGAAAATATTATCAGCCGATGTCAGGTCTGCATGAAGAGACCAGTCTAAACAGTGGCCACTCTTGATTGAACATGAAACTCTGTTTTTATTACAAAGATTTGCCTAACTCAGAAGAGCTATAATTTATTATAGTCCAACTGCACCTGGAAAGAAATTATAAATTGCCAGTGCAGCACTGTGTTGAGGTAGGGCAACAGTTTGACTTTTGGACTTTTGTCTTTGGCAAATGCAAAGCACTTTGATGGAGAAGGCTTGTAATGGCAGTCTGCAGGGGCTTCTGCTGAATTATTGTCATTTCTGAGCTGCATCTTCATGATAAAACTGTGGCATCACCAGATCTTTAATGAAAGATGTTAATGTTGCCTTGTGTCATGTGCTTTTCAAACCACAGGACAAACTAAATGCTCTAATATTGACTTACATATGTTCAGTGTTTGAGTGGGTCTAATTTAAGATTAAAATTGGCACTTATGAAAGATAGGGTTCAATAGGAAACACTTTCAGTGCACTTTTAAAAATATAATGATTCATTTGGGTTGTTTTGGTTTGGTTTCTTGTTTAATAAACAAGTATCTCCCCACTTACCTCACCCTTCCTCTGACTGTCAAACAAGAATACAGTCTTTTTTTGTATCACTGCAATAATAATGGCTCTTGACTAGCCAGAAAAGTAGGTACACCACACACTAGGCAGACAGTACAGTGGAGATAGGCACTAGCTGTGCCCTCCACAGTGACTGTGGCTAAGGGCTGACTAATTGAAAGTGTTGGCAAGTTTCCATTATATTCCATGGCTTTTGGCACAGATCATGAAATCTTTTAAATTCTTCAGAAGCTGACACTATTTGGCCTCTGTTATGCTCACATGCTTTTGTCTCTACTGAAGAACAACTGTTTACCATATCATAATTTGGGATTTTGATGGAATTAAAAACTACTGTTTGGCTCAAGTTATTTTATAGATAACAAAAATAATATTATTCACATTTTATAACAGTCCTACTTAAATTTATCACAAATTATATTCTATATTGAAATATTTATCACAAATTTCTGCAAATGGACCATTCATTCCATTCAGTTAAATGCATGCATCCAAAATTTAAAAAGATAGATATTGTACCATCTAAGCACTGACATATACTAGAGAATCCAACTGTAAATGAACATAAATACTTGAAAAGCACTTTCATTTACCCATATATAAAGTTGTAGCTATAAGTTTATTTTTTTGTGGTTTTTTTTTTAATATTTATAACATTGCACTTGCAAGGCTATTTAAAATTGTAATGTTAACATTTAAGATGTTAATATTTTTTAATACTTGCACAATCTATCAGAATTCCAGTATTTCGTGTTATAGAAGAAGCCTAATTCATCTGAATTTCTGTAAATGCATCATTTTAAATATAGGGTCTAGCAATTAATTCATTTGAAATAACCAAGATTTCTCATTTAGATGTTTTTAAAGCCAGTGAAATTTTATATTGTTTCTGTTAAAATACTTGCATTGTGATTGTCTGACTGTTCAATTTTCAGTGTTAACCGAACTAAGAAAAGGTTTTGTCTGTGTTTCATGCCAGTATCTTCCAATGGTGAAGATATTTACATGAACTGAAAGGATGTTGTAAAATTATTGTTTGCTTGAACAGTTTGCAAGGTATAATTGTGAATTTGCAGGTGTTTATGAAGAATCTCTATGCAAATGCACTACTGATAAGAAGGTATTAATGTCAAGCTCATATTTAGTCTTCTGTTTGGACCAGTTTGGACTTGAGGGTGTTTTCCTTATAACAGTCACATACTAGATTTTTCCATGAAGCTTGCTTTAAATACTCAAAGATAAAATCATGCTTGTTTCTTGTTGGTTTTTTTGTGGTTTTATTGTGGGGGTTTGTTTTCTTTTTCCATTAAGGCCATCACAGTCACCCAAAGACATTGTATGTGATTCATACACAATTGATGACTGTGGAGACACTCAAGTAAAATGTAAAACTTGCTAGTAAAAAGCAGAATGTAAGTACCTGAGGTTGAAGCCTGCTGGAAATAGTCAGAGGGGGATAATGTGTAAGGAGAAGGGGATAGATTGTGGTTTTCAATTCCAAAGGTAAGTTACAAAGAGTTCTGTCTCAAGTTACAGCACGTAGCTGAAAGTTGTGCCTTCTTCCCAGTTTTGGATTCTGCTGCTCACTTTTTGTGTGGCCTTCAACAAGTTATTAAAGATTTTCATAAATAGCTTTAGATTTTGAGTGCTCGACCAGCCTTCCTTTGAAAAACATGGAACGCAACTGCGGAGACACATCTGTTCATCAAGCCTAGCATAATAAAAACTGGACACTGAAAATCAAAGAGAAACTTGAAAAAAGTTGACCTTCTCTCTGAAAATGCAGACCACCTTACTACTGCTAATGATTGTTGTGAGGATTAGTTAACTCATGTCTGTAAATGCTCCCAAAGCCTCAACTGGTAAATGTTGATGAGGTGCAAGGTGTTAATATATTGTACTGAGAAAATGGAAGCATAAGAAATCAGATATAATGAGGAAACAAATGGGGTGGGGGGTGGGGGGGAGGGAGAGCAAACCTTCTGCTAAATACAGCCAAATAAAAATATTTTCACTAAATGAAAGACCTATTTTTTAATTTATTTATTTTTTTTTTGGTTCTTCACAGTGCTAATGATCTTTTCCACTACCCATGCATGATAGTATTTACACCAAAAGGCAAAAAAAAAACCCAACAAGTAAGAATCACGAGATTGTTGAATTTGAGATCCTCAGGACAGTGAGAAGAGCATGCAGCAAGCTCACTGCCCTGGATTTCAAAAGAGCAGACTTTGGCCTCTTCAGGAACCTGCTTAGTAAGGTTCCATGGGATACAGCCCTAGAGGGGCTGTTGGTTGATATTCAAGGATCACCTGCTGCAAGCTCAGGAGTGTTGCATCCCAACCAGAAGGAGGTGCAGCAGGAGGGCCAGGAGACCTCCTTGGATGGATAAGGAGCTCCTGAGGAAAATTCAAATGAAAAAAGAGGCTTATACTAAGTGGAAGCAAGGAGAGGTGGCCTGGGAAGAGTACAGGGATGTTGTCTGGGAAGCTACGGACCAGGTTAGGAAAGCTAAGGCCCAGTTAGAATTAAACTTGGCTAGGGGTATTAAGGATAACAGGAAGGGATTCTACAGGTACATAGCAAATAAAAAACAGACTAGGGAGAATGTAGGCCCCCTCAGGAAGCTCTCGGGAGAACTGGCTACACAGGATTTGGAGAAGGCTGAGGTTCTGAATGACTTCTTTGCCTCAGTCTTCACTGGCAAGGCTCTGACCAAACCACCCAAGTCTTGAAAGGCAGATGCAGGGACTGTGAGAATGAAGACCTTGGACCCACTGTAGGAGAGGATCTGGTTCGAGACCATCTTAAAAACCTGAACGTGCAGAAGTCCATGGGTCCTGATGAAATCCATCCACGCATCCTGAAGGAGCTGGTGAATGAAGTTGCGAAGCCACATATTTGAGAAATCATGGCAGTCAGGTGAAGTTCCCAATGACTGGAAAAAGGGAAATATAACCCCCATTTTCAAGAAGGGGAAAATGGATGACCCGGGGAATTACAGACCAGTCAGTCTCACCTCTGTGCCTGGCAAAATCTTGGAGCAGATTCTCCTGGAAGGCATGCTAAGGCACATGAAAATCAACAAGGTGCTTGGTGACAGCCAGCATGGCTTCACTAAAGGGAAATCCTGCCTGACCAATTTGGTGGCCTTCTATGATGGGGCTACAGAACTGATGGACAGGGGCAGAGCAGCTGATGTCATCTACCTGGACTTTGCAAAGTGTTCGACACTGTCCCACACGACATCCTTGTCTCTAAATTGGAGAGACATCAATTTGATGGATGGACCACTCAGTGGATAAAGAACTGGCTGGATGGTCACACGCAAAGAGTTGTCGTCAATAGCTCAATGTCCAGCTGGAGACCTGTAATGAGTGGTGTCCCTCAATGATCAGTGTTGGGACCGGTCTTGTTTAACATCTTCGTCACTGACACGGACAGTGGGATTGAGTGCGCCCTCAGCAAGTTTGCCGATGACACCAAGCTGTATGGTTTGGTTGATACGCTGTAGGGAAGAAATGCCATCCAGAGGGGCCTTGACACGCTTGTGAGGTGGGCTGATGTCAACCTCATGCAGTTTAACCATGCCAAGTGCAAGGTCCTACACCTGGGTTGGAGCAATCCCAGGCACAGCTACAGGTTGGGCAGAGAAGAGATTCAGAGCAGCCCTGCAAAGAAGGACTTGGGGGTGTTGGTTGATGAGAAAATGAGCGTGAGCTGGCATTGTGTGCTCGCAGCCCAGAAAGTCAACCGTATCCTGGGCTGCATCAAAAGGAGCGTGACCAGCAGGTCGAAGGAGGTGATCCTGCCCCTCTACTCTGCTCTTGTGAGACCTCACCTGGAGTATTGTGTGCAGTTCTGGTGTCCTCAACATAAAAAGGACATGGAACTGTTGGAACAAGTCCAGAGAAGGGCCACGAGGATGATCAGGGGACTGGAGCACCTCCCATATGCAGACAGGCTGAGGAAGTTGGGGCTGTTCAGCCTGGAGAAGAGAAGGCTGCGTGGAGACCTCATAGCAGCCTTCCAATATCTGAAGGGGGCCTATAGGGATGCTGGGGAAGGACTCTTCATTAGGGACTGTAGTGATAGGACAAGGGGTAACGGGTTGAAACTTAAACAGGGGAAGTTTAGATTGGATATAAGGAGGAAATTCTTTCCTGTTGGGGTGGTGAGGCACTGGAACAGGTTGCCCAGGGAGGCTGTGAATGCTCCATCCCTGGCAGTGTTCAAGACCAGGTTGGACGAGGCCTTGGTTGATATGGTTTAGTGTGAGGTTTCCCTGCCCACGGCAGGGTGGTTGGAACTAGATGATCTTAAGGTCCTTTCCAACCCTAACGATTCTATGATTCTATGAATCTATGAATAACGAAAATAGTGTCATCTGACAGTACATGGAGTTTGCCCTCAAAAAGACACTCCCCCTCTCCTCCTTGGACTATGCTAGAAGTCTAGTGCTTCAGTGTAGGTACTCAAGCTGCATGTCTGCATGCTGTCTGTGTTCTTGAGTGGCAAGTTGCTGTTAATAGGAATAGTATGAGAGAAAGGGTTCTGATTACACTGAGGAAGAACTAGGAAGATGAGAAAAGCTGGCTCCATCCCAGGCCTTGCCTGAGATCTGCTGTCGGCAGGCTTGTGCCCCGTCCTCTCACCTGCTGTACCTGTTTCACTTGTCTTTGACTTAGGATCTGACTTCTCACCCTGCATTTGCTTGATGGTTGCTGCACAGTCAAAAGAACCTTTTAATGTCATCACCCCAGCCCTATGTTGCTGTGCACAGTATGGTGGGACTGTGCCTTTGCTGGAGAGGCTGCTGCCCTGCTAGGCTGGGGTTGTATTCCTCTTTGGAAGGAAGCCACTCTTGCAGTTTGCTGACAGAGAACTACTCTAACTCCAGGTTCAAGAAGGGAAGATACTGGTCACCAAGG